TTGAAATATCTAAGGTCTATGGCATTGGATTACAAAGATATAGAGATTAGAAAACCAGAGTTTGTGGCAAATACTCAATTCTTTTACTTTACTTTTACAATAGAAATGATTATAATTGGACCAACTTATAAAGTTGATTTAAATACACACAGCATTCGCTTGGGGCGAATATATTTCTATTGGACCCTTCTGATCAGATGCTTTGTGCTAACTCACTCCCCTATGGAACTGTGGAATTGAGATCGCTAATAATCTTCTTTCTCTGCCATCAAGATAAATGCCGTTCTCTAGATAGGAAAGAGGGGTTTAATACCTTTTCCTCTACACTTTTAATCCTTTCTCCAGCATCGATCCTTGCACCCTGCAGCTGGTGGGTGGTATTTCTAGATAAGAGAAGAGGTTCAATGCCCTTGTCCCCCCTACGCTGTATTAAAGGCTGCACCATACCCAGAGTTCAATACCCTTTTGGACTGGTTCTAGATTGTTTGGCTTTATTTTTAGATTGCATTTGTCATGTGCATCATTTCTCCAACTGGGAGCAATGAACTTATGTGAGATTATGTACATCGGGATGAACTCTGGTTTGGTTCACATTACTTTGTAATAAGTTTTATTTCAGAAAAACCTTTTTGATATTTTCCTAATAAAACTATCATCCCAAAAAAAACCTTTCAGTATCTGTCATGAACTTTATTAATTAATTTGGATAGTTTTCCTTGATGAGATAGAATTAAAATGTCTTAACACTACAGTTCCAAGCAGTACAATTTCTTGTTCCCTAGAATGAGCTCAGTGAGGTGCAACCAGTGTAAATCAATACTATCACCCTCATTCATATCTTAGCTATTGTTTTAATTCTCCTGATTTTTGAAGATTGTTCAGTTAAAAGTCTTCAATTAGATAAGATGGATTTGATGGATCAACTATGAGAGAACCCTTATTCTTAACAAACTATTTTACTTCTTTGGATAAAGTAAAACTGTGTTTTAGTTATCCTCCATTTTGCTTTTAACATGATAAAAAAAAAAAGATTAAGGGGACTGTAAGCGTAATTTCAAGGGACGCTCCATGCAAAAATGTAATTGCCCGATTTTCAAGGGTATCCTTGAAAGCTTTGCTGATCGAGTATTAATTATATATTTTTCTCTTTTAAATGTTTATTTTCATTTGTGGTATCTCTGCAAAAGTTACTTGTGCCTTCCTTGTTAGTAAGAAGCAAACAAGGAAATCACAGAAAAAACTTTCTATTCAGAAAAATGACAGTTTCTGTATTTGAAAAATGAAATGTTTATTCTATGATATTCTAATTTCTAATACAGTGGTATGTGGGGGTAGCTTGAGATGGTAGAATATTAGTATATATTGGATTCTTAATCTTTAACCATTAATCTGATGTTTTCTCTATAATAAATTAATGGTATACAAATATAGAAGTATATTTTCAATCAGATCTGGTCACAATATTAGAATTACATGGTTCTGCACTTGGTTTGACCGCGAGGGTGGTACACGGGTCTAACAGTTCTTTGATCTTGGGAGCAGCTACATTGTGAATCCTTTCTCTTTACTGGTTCTTTAGCAACTGTGTCTAGCCTGCTTTTTGCAGATTGCCAAATTCAGGGCAAATTTAAAGATAGTAATATTTGACAATATAAACACTTTTAGGCTTAAAAAAGACATAAAAGTGAAAACATGAAAACATATTAATAACTTTTGTTTCAAGGGATCTATAACACCCCTTTATCTAGACAGCATAATACTGCGCAAAATATGCACACAGGCTGGTTTTTTTGCACTGGTTTATTTCTTTCTAATACTTCTAAAATAAATATTTTCTTGTCCATTGTCATTTGTCATAAATGAAACATGATGTAAAAAGTTTATAATGTCGTAACTTTTACGTAAAATCCAAACTATTGGGATCCCAAACGATTATCAACTAATGTTCAAGATTTTGGGATTAGTCTTGGTTTGGGGAATAAGGTATATGAATGAGAACCAATTGGGAGTAGGTAAAAAAGGTTGGGAATTGTAAAGGATATCATCTAAAGAGGAAGTTGGGATTGGGATGGAAATCAGCTGTAGAGAAATTTGGGATTGGAAGATTTGGTATTAGGAATCAATGAGAGCTTTAATGAAAATAAGGGTTTTTATATTGGTAGTTAGAATGATTGGAAAGATTGGGCAAAGGAATAGATGTTTTTTGAGAACCACTGTATTGAAAAAGAATAAGCAAAATTTAGTATAAAGATACAGATAGAATAAAATACGTGTGTGTAAAACTATAACAGAATAAGTGATTTAGAGGATAAGAATGTTAAATAGGAATGAAGACGACATTTTGGAAAGACTGAACGAATTATTGTCAAGTTAGAATAAAAGAAAGAAAGGGATATAAAAAATCACCTTTAGACTCATTTCTTCCATATTTTTGATCAGATTAAGGTTTGAAGGGTACCGTTGTAAACTGGGAAATTCCATCTTTGCATAGAGGGTCACTGCAAATTATACTTTCCAAAATTAAGGTGAGGGACATAATGCCATGCTTTTTGTTGGATAACATTAGTCTCACCTGTATCTCATTAAGAACAGCTAAACTTTTATGATGGAAATCTTGATTATGGACCAATAGAGAATCAAAAATAGCTTCGAAGGCAAGCATAGCAGAATCCTCTCTGGGAACACTGTGGAGACTGACTAAAACCAGTGAAACATATTGAAACCAGTCTGTTCCAGACAAAAGTGCTCTCAGAGACATCTTGAGCCTACAATAAAATCTCTCTGCCAGACCGTTGGATTGATGATGGAAGGATGTGGTTGGAAAATGTATGATTCCAAGGAACCTGTAAAGAGAATTCCAAATGAAGCACATGAATTTTGCTCTTCTGTCAGAGGTGATTACTGCTGGAAACCCAAAGATTGGGATCCTTGAACATAGTAGAACCTTGGCACATTCTTCTGCTGTTGTAGACTGGAGAGGGATTTGTCCTGGCCATCAATTCTCTATCAATGATGATCAATGAAGAGGTCCTACCAAATCTACGTGAATATGTGAAAATCTTCTCCCAAGAACCAGGATCAGCTAAGGCGGATATTTGAAACAGGTTTGAAACTCGCTTCGCTGGCATTTGAAACAGGACTGAGACCATTAAATGATTTCATGGAGAGACCTTTCCAGACAAACAAAACTCCTGGATAATAATCTCTGTGAAGCTAACCTGCCTGGATGAGAAATATTGTGAATTTGTTCAAAAACAAACCTTTTCATCTTCTCTGGAACTGGGGTGCAGGCTGCAGAAGATACACACGGACATATCTCAAAGGATCTTGGAGCCGGAACAATAAAAATTGTTATATACCACACACCTTCAACACTTTGATTGTCAGATGTTATACTACCAATGCCTTCAACACTTTGGTTGTCCCTTCATAATGCTGAGGGGAAGGGGAGATGTCATATCAATGTGCCATTGCTGAAGGAAGATAAAACTCAAACTCAATGTCAAATAATTAAGTTTTACAAACAGTTAATAGTAAAAAGACATTTTCGATTTTATACCATTTCACGAACCAGATTTATACCATTTCACGAACCAGATTTATACCATTTCACGAACCAGATTTATACCATTTACGAACCAGATTTATACCATTTCACGAACCAGATTTATACCATTTCACGAACCAGATTTATACCAAATTTAAATCTAAAATGATTAAAAAGGGGGTTAAGTTTAACCGTGAAGACCAAGTTTTAAAAGTATGGCATTTTTTTCACTGCAATTTAATTATTTTAACAAATTGATAAAAGCCATTTGAAAACAGGGATTGAATAATTTTCAGCCTGAAATGGTTATGGGAAAAAATTTTGTATTGTTGGACTTGAAAACGACAGAAAAACACTTAATTTTTAACTAATATATATTTGATTTCAAACATTGTTAATTTAAAGTTATTGAAAGTTTCAAATTCCTAAAATTAAAGTATCAGGGACAGGACCGGGTTTATAATATAAAATTAATAGAGTGGAGATAACAAATGGGTTTCAGGAATTCATTTTAAACTTTATACACTTAAAAATCATAGAAAAGGAAACCAAGAGATAAAGCTTACCTCATTAATTGCGAAATTGATAGACTGATCGATATGTACATCATGATATGTTTACATACAGATTGCCCCATATCATTAGCTTATTTTCAAGCTTTAATACCGAAAATCTCACATAATACTCAAAAAACCTTATTTTCTAAATGCAAATTTTTACAATAGCCTTTTTACAATAAACGATTCATTGTTAAATGATTTATTCTTTAAACATTTTTTCACACTTGTATTTAGAGTAATCATATTTCTTAGTGGTGGTTTAATGTAAATAATTGAATACTTAGATCGTAAAATATTAGCAGTCCAAATTCTCAAACTTTCTTTATCTAAAGAAAAGAAATCTTAAAATTGATCAATTCCACAAAATCCCCCCTGGAAATATGAAATAGAGCACACATTCAGGTATAACGCGAGTGTTAGATACATGTACATATTGTGATGTACACAATCGTCTAGCTCATCAATATTGCTAAAGGATGGTCGGTTGTGAACATATGAGGCGATTATGAGATAAGATTTAACTTTTTTTTTCCTTTCTCTATGTTTAAAATGCATTAATAAAATTCGTGGAGTTATTAAAAGTTTGACTTTAAATCAATATATGCATCAGTCAGGGGACAGTTTTTTTTTTGCTTTTTAACTATTTAATCAAAAGTTTTAATTTAGTTTTAAAAGTTTTATTGAAAAATCAAACACATTTAGATTTTATAGAATTGTTAAAAGTTTAAATTTAATTCGATCAGTGCATAAGTCTGTTGTTTTTGCTTTGAATCAATCAAAAGTTTAGTTTTAAACTAAAATACTAAAAATATTTAACATGGATGAAACACCTATTATATTTGAGATGTTTTTGTATGATACCAACCTGAGAGTCTATTAACCAAAAACCAAGCTTTCATTCAATAATTTATTTCTTTGTTTTTACATAATCAATAAAATGCAAATAGTATTCAAATTTAGCACATTGTCTAAAATGTTTGTTAAAGATCTAATTAAAACGAATTTCAAAGTTTCAAACTAAATTTGTTATATTCTTTTGATGAATTCCACTTAAAACATTTGAAATATTGTGAATATCATACAATCAATGACCAACAGGGGCATATAAAAGAAATCATAGATTTCCCTAACCCAAGGGGCCTGAGTCCCAAAAATCCACCACAAAATAGAATTAGATACAGCAGTCAAAGGATGCTACTACACCAAAAAGAATTAGGTACAGCAGTCGTAGGATTCTAATACGCCAATATAGAATTAGATACAGCAGTTGCAGGATGCTACTCCTCAAATATAGAATTAGATACAGCAGTCGTAGGATGCTACTTCGCCAATATAGAATTGATACAGCAGTCGAGGATGCTAATACGCCAATATAGAATTAGATACAGCAGTCATAGGATGCAACTACATCAATATAGTTAGATACAGCAGTCGTTGGATGCTACTACGCCAATATAGAATTAGATACAGCAGTCATAGGATGCTACTATGTCAATATAGAATTAGATACAGCAGTCGTAGGATGCTACTACACCAATATAGAATTAAAAACAGCAGTCATAGGATGCTAGTACTCCAATATAGAATTAGATACAGTATTCGTAGGATGCTACTACGCTAAAATAGAATTAGATACAGCAGTCGTAGGATGCTACTGCCCCAGCATAGAATTGTATACAGTTGTCAGTTCCACAAGTCAGTCCAGGCTTGCAATCCGCGTCACTAAACAAATAAAGCAAAGTCATATTGATATCAGGGATAATTGGGAAACTAAATCTAAAATGAGAACTTGGTAATACTTTAACTCAATTTACATCCATAAAAATCATCATTTATTCATTTATATAAAATCACTATGATTACGTCATATGAAATGAATTATGTGACATATTCTATTTTGTATTAATAATAATAGATATTATAAAACATGAGAAATTGTTGATTGAAAAGAATTATTTGCGGATTATTTACAATAGTTAGACTTGCAAATACCCAACTCTTTCTTGATGTTAAAGGGAGTGTTCGCAAAAAATGAGAGGGGCTATAGGCTTACGGCGATAAATAATCATTCTGATCGCTAATAATCTTATTTCTATCTGTTGCGTCTATAAGGAGAAAATTGTTAAAAACGTTTCATACCGAAGAACGAAGCGTTCATACAAATTGAGGAAGTTGGAACATACAACTTGGATTATAAAAAAATCTAATTTATATCAAACAAATAATTTAGATAATAATCCTATAGTCATCCATTATTTTTCGACGCATTTGTATATAATTGATAATTCATAATATTTTTTATTTTGTGTTTTTTTAAGTTAATATTTCGCTTACAATTTGTTTTCACGACTGGCGCATTCCCGGAAAGTATGGAAAATGTCGTCTTCATTATAAAAATCCTCAAAACAGGAAGGGGTGTCTTCAAAAGTCACTCTCAGATCATAGAAAGTAAAAAATATTATGAAATATTAACTATATCTGAATGCGTTGAAAAATAATCGATTACTATAAGTTGTAATATCTGAATGCTTTGTTTGGAATTAAATTGATTTTGTTATGATCCGAGTCGTATGTTGCAACTTTCAGAATTTGTAAGGAATCTACGTTCTTTGGTATGAGATGTTTTTAACAATTTTCTCATTATAGACGCAACAGATCGAAGAATAATTTGTAGCGATCAAAAGCGATTATTTATTGCTGTAAGCCCATACCCCCTAGATAAATAAGAATAGATTGTTCATGCAGACCAAATAGATTATCAAGTACAATAGGTGGCAACAGAGAAATCAACCAATTATACACTACGTCACAAGTGTCAAATATAACAAGGAAAACGAATTTTTCTCAAATTAGTTGACATGTTTCCCAAGATGAAATAAAAAAGTGTAAAAACAGAAACTAAAGAACACATAAAATTGCACTTATTTTACTGTAAGAAAAGCACTTTATTCAAATATTATCACTATTATTGATGATTTTGTCGGACACAAAAACTGAATTGACACTTGTGACGACAGAATACAACTGTACTGAGAGTGTACAAATTCTACGTTGCCATCTATTGTACTAGAATCTATTTGATGCAGACTGTACATCATGAACTCGTCATTTGAAGAGGTCATTGAATACGTTTTACTTCTCGGGGACAATCTGTAGAGTATTTTTTCTGCTAATTTATTTAAAGAAGTAGGCTTCTCCCATCAACTATTTTAGCTTTTAACCTCAAACAGGCTTGGCCCTATAGTTTTTTTTGGTCCTAACACTCTCATTTTTGTCACTACTACTGTGAAATTTTGTGACTTTTAATGAATAGTTATTAAGGATTTTTCTGTCAATTCTTTTTAATGCCATAGGGTAGGGTACAGGCCGGTAAAAAGTTTAGTCTGTGTAAAAAAATCTAAAATGGCCATTAACTTTTTTGTGACTTAAGCTACAGATCTAAAAATTATATTTTTAAAAATTCCTTAAAAAGTGGATTTAGAAACATATGTCACAATTGGATATCTGTTTAAAAAAATTACAATTTTACCTTTTTTTGGCTTTTTTTTAACCTTCCCTAGAGCCCAAACTATTAGAATTATCTATCTTAATTTTTTTTCAATGAGCTGGCGTTGAAAAATTGGTCTTTGAATATGCATTTTAATTCTATACCTATTCTCTAAGGCCTTTTTTTAATGGGAGGGGCGTGAGAAGCTCCCCCCCCCCCAGACTATTCATAGATTCAGAACCCACCAGCCTTTATATGGTTGACTGTTGCCCTGAAAGTCGCCATTAAAAATCGTTTTAAATTTGTGTTTCTTTTTTGTTTAAATTGGTACATTTTCAAAAGTAATAAATGTCGACTTTTTTATGACCCTTTTGAAATTAAAATATCCAAAACAGATTCTAAAAGTGAAAATTTCTGAAGTCCAAACACACAAAAGTATACAAGACAAATGTGTAAATGAAAGTAAAGTTTAAAAAATCTCTTTATTGATAAGCCAACAACATTGAAAAAATTAAGAATACATAATTATCAAAAAGTATATCTTATATTCATAGGTTGGGAACTTCGTCTCAGTTGTAAAAAGATTAAGTAACAATTTGCAGTAGCCAATAGATTTCTCTATTGCACTCAAGACAAGTTGAAGAGAGATCCTGAAATAAAACAAAATTAGGTTAAAAAAAAATAAACAAAATAGGTTTAAACAAATTGAAAATGGGTAATTTCCTAGAGAATGTCTGCAATATTTGTAAACAAGCCCCCATAAATTTGTACAGAGTACAAATATACTTGCCGCAAACCTTTATATCCAATATACTGTATGTCAGTAGGTAGTACCATAGCAAATGGCCATTTTCAATTTCAACTGTAACCCTCCGGTATGGTGAAGACGACATGAGCAATCTATTCTAGTTTATCTACCCCCTTTAATTTTCGCGAACACTCCCTTTAATGTTGAAGGATATACCATTTACCTGTCACAATCCCCCTCCCCATAGTCGCATAGTTCTGTTTTGGTGCAGCACGTCGCATCAGAGGACCGACCCAAGCACTCTGCAAAACAAAACCAGAGTTGAGATTCTAAAAGCTAAAACTTGATTGAAACCCAGCTTTCAGTAGTGGCTTAAAAGTAGGGATGGGCACTTTCGTTTTTTACAATACTCGTTTTGAAAAATTGTCATTTATAAAGAAAAAAATTTGTTCTGTAACGGATACAGAAATTTTTGTTGTTTTTCGTTTTAAAACGAAAAACAATGTTGATGGTGAGACTTCATTCCTGGATGTAAATTGATATTTTCTTATTTATATATTAACATATAGTGATAACATGAAAAACAAAAATAAAGCAGTTTAAGTTGGTTTAACGTACAGGCCAATGTCTCATTCAGATGATTTTCAGATAATATTGAAAATGGATAAAGCCGGTTATTGTTTTTGTCCGTGTTTGAAAATTATCGAAGGTTATTAGGTTTTCAGACCTTTCACATGCTTAAAAATTTAATTCTGTTTTCTTTTCAATTATTCAAAAAAATATTATTTTGTTCGTTTTCAAAATTATCATTCAATTTCCATCTTTTTTGTTGTTTTTTATTTAACAATTGTACATTCAGTAAAATCGTTTGTGCAATAAAATCGTCCGTTCAGTTAAAAACTATCGTTTTTTTAAAGATTTGTTCAAAAACATCGTTCGATTAGTAAAAAAATGATTCTTTTTTCGAAACTTTGGTAAAAACAATTGATCTTCAAAAATCAGTTCGTTCAGTAAACAAATGATTGTTTTTTTCAAGTATGTTTGATTGTTATTACATCGTTTGCTTTTGATTTCTTTATCGTTGGTTTTTTAAAAACAAAAACTTTTTCTTTTCTCTGAACAAACTATGTTGTTCATCCATCGTTCGCTTTTTTTCTCTAAACAACACCCTTTTTCACAAAAATTGTGTACACTCTCAAAAATTGTGTTTGTTCAAGAAAACGATGCTCAATGGTGGACTTAAAGGTTTCTCACCTGTTAAACACCCTTTTTTATCCACCCAGTAATGCCAGTATGGTTCACAAAGACAAGTGCTTCCCAATACAGTGTTCCCGCACTTGGCATTAGCATAACAATTGGGCCTATCTAAAACATAAATTTCAATGGTTTACATCTTAAAGATTACTCCAGTTAAAAACATTTAATTTAGTAAGACATTAAACCAGAATATTTTTCAGAGAAGACAACCTGAGCCCGCGATTTAAAAACTCCGGCTTGAGCCGTATTTCCTTAAACCTGACTTTAAGACCCAACTCTGACGCCAGCTTGTGTCACTTGATTGCCAGCTGCAAGATCTTCGGCTCGACTTAAGGAGTTAAGCCCAATGAAAATAAAACCGACCTTGGTTGGTTTTAGTGGAGAATAAGGCCCAATGTTTAGTCTTGTTCTCATAAGAACCCGGAATGCGCCAATTCCTACCATGAAAATCCACCAAATAGAATATTAAACCAGTTTTTTTTAACTCAACTCTGTTGAAAATAAGATGCAGCTTGTATCCGAAAGCTCAAACCGTAAATAAGGCCCAACGATAGCTTATACCCAAGCCCTATTTTCTCGAATTTTTAAATCGCGGGCTCTGAAAGAGAATGTTCAAGTAATTTTAAGTGACCCCGATCCATGCCAAGATGGCAATGACCGATTTTCAAAAGTATTCCCTTAAATTCTTCAACTGATCAATGTTGTGGGACTTGTTCTCATTTTTCTACAAAAAATATTTTAAGTTTTAAAACTATTAATATTCATGCTTGGAATTTTGTAGTTTTTGGAAACAGTTTTAATGTAAAAAATTCAGTAATGTCCAGTTACGAAAGTAGCGCATTCAGGTCTATTTACTCAATGAACAGTCAAAGGGTTTTAGGTATCATTGAAAAATACCTATATAACAGAAGTCTCTGATGCAGCCTCCTACTGGAGTCCAATCTGTCCAACCAACCATGCAGTCGCAAGTGTAGCTTCCAATATTATTATAACAATTCTTATAGCCCGTCCCGCAAATCCTAGGATCTTAAAGTAAAGAAAAGAATGTCAGATATCAATTTTGAAAAATTTATGATGTTGTTGTATGATATACATTTTAGAAAAGCTTACATACTTTTAAAAACCTTTATTAAATACCCTACTGAGAAGGCATTCTACACAGAAATTTAGCTTGGTATTAAAATACATAGTTTTACCATTTAAAAGTAAAGCCTGAAACTGATATAAAAAAGTCTAAAGAGTATAGGAAAAAAATATATTTACATTATGAAAAAAAGAACAAATAATGTTTGATACTATTGAATTAAATAAAACCAGAGCTTTTTGGCTGACTCTCCACCTGTCTTCTGCTTCATATTTAGGTTTAAACCTCCTTGCTTTAGATCTACCCTATTTTGGCCTTAGCCTGATGAATCCTAGCTATTTTCTCCACTTCTGTGGTGCAAGCCTATTGACTTGACTTTAAATAGAACTCTGGGGTTAAGGGTGGCTTGGTTTTCCACATTTTCAAACACGAGTTAAAAGCATTTTCTCTAGGATGGTATCTTTTAACGGATACATATCCCAACACATTACACTCAAGGCTACTTATCATCCGCCCCACTTTATGTCCATTCTATAGCTCTATACAAAAGAGCTGCTTAGCTCCGGGTCCGTATGAGGACTGAAGGGGTTACATCAATGGAACTATGCAATTTGAGCCTAGCTCCGGGTTTGTATGAGAGCTGAAGGGGTTACTATCCCTATTCCAAGCTATTGAGCTCACATAGCAATTCAGACAGTTTATCCAAGTGCTTTTTGAGTAAGCACAGATTTAGGCCTAAAGCCTAAGTTCAAGAGGGTTAGACGGTAACATAACTTTAAATTATAATGCCAACTAGAAAATTATGAGAATTGAACATTGTACAAAGAAAACACTACATAATATTAAGGTCATTTTTTAAGCACGTTCATCGGTTTTAGATACAAATACATAATGCATCACTCCTGTATGCCGAGTCCATTCGCGCCTAATCCAATCAGGTTTCAGTCATGTGTTTGATGTCTATTCTGAACCAATAGAAAAAGTTTGGCGGTAACATCTATCTTTCTTTCTATCTCATTATCCAATTAGAGTTATGAAAATTTAATCGGCGCTATCAGTAAATGGAAATATTTACTTATACTGAAACTATGGTGGCATAACGGTTGTATTAAAGGAGAGGAAGACGAGTAGGTCCTCTCTGGGTCCAGAATCCAATGCTAGTAATTTTCGAATTTATAATCCTCTTTCGGGGGTTTCATCCTCTACAGAAGTCTCGCTTAAATCGTCTTTAGCATATAGGGAATTCAAAACTAGGCTGGGAACCTTCCAACTTTTTTTGAAATCAATCAGTTCGTTTCTAGATTTAGGGCCTTCAGCTAGATCGTTTAATGTTGGCATAAAATACTATAGGAAAAAGCAGGCTCTCATCTATATTAAAGTCCCAAGCAGGTTGATATTCATATAATTAACATATTTCCCCAATTATTTATACCTGCACATTCATCAATATCTGAACAGCCTTTATAAGGTTTAAAATTTTCAAATCCAACCAGACAGTCACATCTGAAGCTTCCAACAGTGTTCACACATGTAGCCTTAGGCCTGAAAAAGGTGAGATATCCATGAAAAGGTTTTTTACGACAACAGGACATGGTCCTAAGTGTTGGATAAGTCAAGCAAACTTTTGAATTCAGCTTTTCCTTTGAACTGACCCTCTATTGTGTCCCCAATATTACTCTGTGTATGTGTATTGTGTACCCTGTGTACCCAATATTACTATGTGTATGTGTTTTGTGTACCCTGTGTAGTGTGTACCCAATATTACTCTGTGTATGTGTTTTGTGAACCATGTGTGTACCCAATATTACTCTTTGTAGGTGTATTGTGAACCTGTGTACCCAATATTATTCTGTTTATGTATATTGAGTACCCCGTGTACACAATTTTACTCTGTGTATGTGTGTTGAGTACCCCATGTGCCCAATATTACTCTGTTTATGTGTAATATTGAGTACCCTGTGTACCCAAGTATTAATCTGTTTATGTGTATTGTGTATTCTGTGCCCCCATTATATCTCTGTTTATATTTTTATTTTGTACCTTGTGCCCCCGATTTTCATCTGTGTATGTAGTATTTATTGTGTATCTACAATGTTACTCTGTGTATATAGTGGACACCATGTCCCCCGAGGGAGGGAACCCCGGACGCCATGAGCCTCCGCTATGCAGACACGAGCCTCCCAGAGTTGCTAGGCAGACCAAGCCTCCGCTTTGCAGAAATGAGCATGCGCAACACATCAAAATGTACAAGTGTAATACAGGAGGTTTTTTTAAACTTGTGTTTTAAGTTTAAATAGAAGATTTTTTAAAAATTTTTTAGACATAGTGGCATGAGAGGCTTCTCAAAGATGATAAGTATTTATTAATTATCATAAATAGTGCCTAATTATGACTAATAAAGTGGTTTCTAAAACTTTAAACATTTTTTACATAAAAAGGAAATTATTTAGAAAAAAAGTTTTAATTTCAATTCATCTTTTATAATCTTTGATTTTAGCGATACCTTTTTTTGAAGTTCAAATTAAATCTAAAAAATTTGTATTTATTATTTAAATCTTAACATTTTTTCAAAATAAGGTATTGTTTAAATCAAAGATTACAACAAAACAAACCAAGTTTACTCCAGAAATATTTCTCCAAATATCTTCCTTTCTGCGTAAGACATGTTTAAATTTTTAATATAAATCTTATAAACCACTTTATGAGTCCATATATGTTTCTAATCATGACAATCAATGAACAACTCTAATCTTTAGTAAAAATTCTTATGCCACTACGTTAAAAAAAATTGTTAAAAGTTGTCATCACTCATAAAAACCAAGATTTATGGTGGAGGCTCTTTTACTGCATAGCGAAGGCACAGTCTGCCTAGCGTAGGCTTTGTCTGCATGGTGGAGGCTCAGTCTGCCTAGCGAATCTGGGAGGCTCGATGTCTACATAGCAGAGGCTCATGGCGTCCGGGGGTTCCCTCCCTAGTCCCCATGGTGCGGCGTGCATATTATTGTGGACCTTATGTTACTCTGTTTATTTATGCTAAAATGAAAAAAAATGTTAAACAAATTTTGTTAAACCCTGATTCTTGGACAGAGCAGGGTGCCTTGCTTGTACAACTACTGGAAATCGTGTTAAATATATGAAAAAAGCCAGCTTCAACTTTAAAGTGTCGGAACGTCTTTGCCTTTGATTTTACATCACTAACTCACTTAAATACTTTTTGTAGCCCTAGACATTTTTGTGTGAGAGCATGCTCATGTTGGTATGCATTGTAGTGTATAGAACTACTGTGATGTTAATCTATGTTATATATTCATTACAACTCACCCACAGTAATCCAATGTTCCTTGTTGAGCACATTCATTCATATCTACACAGGCACCAACTTTATTCTTTGCATATCCAACCTTTAAAAACGTATAATATTCTAGGTTATCAAACTAAATAAATGTTTCTTCTCAATTTCATTGTGAAAAATGGTGCATGATTTGTGCACCATTATAAACCGAACACTTTACAACCTATTTCCTCACAAGATTTAATTATTATCCGACCATAATTAAATAAATATCAAAATGTCTCTAGGATGTTAAGATTCATGGCTAAAAACTTATCGGATTTGGTCAACACTTCTCTGCATAGAGGATAGCTTTATCTCTTGGGGATGGAACTGATCAGCTGTAAAAAAAACTAAGATTTATATAGCTAAAGGAGGTCCAAGACCAGCTTGAAAATGGCAAAAATCTGTTTAAGGCATTGATAGTTACTTGCTAGTGTCCGTGTAGATATTGATAGCTGATCGAGCCCATTGCTTTGGCATTAGTTGATTACGAGCTCGTGTCCTGGTTGACATTGATAACTGACAAGATTCTGTCCGGGTTCAGACATTGATAGATAAGTGAAAATTGTACCTGGATAGATACAGGTTCGAGAAATCGTTATGGAGTAGGGTATTTAATACATGCAGAGCCAGTTCCTTTACCTCTTCTACTGTAAGGAGAACAGCTGTTGGGGACCATTGCTATAAGCTGATGGGACCATATTTTATTGCAAGAAGGAATGTACCTTACTATACTAAAGCTTTTCCTTGTGTAAATCAACTCTATACTGGTCTCAGTGCTCAGGTTGCCGGCAAGAAAAACCTATAATCAGCCATCGCAGCCAGCCTTTTACGTTGTCATCAATAATATAAATCAAAGTTTGGTTTAAAACTGACAATGTCCTAACTCCTAAAAGTTTAATAATGGCTGGCCTATAATTCAGAATATATGGGCCATGGTAAAACAGAAGATTGCAAGGAATCAATGTGAAAAGCTCTATTGTCTGAAGCATTGTTGTGAGAATAGGAAATCCCAGCCGGTAGGCTGATACAGAGCATTTATTCAGACCAGGGTTGACCGGTAGGCTGATGATTTATTCAGACCAGGGTTGACCGGTAGGCTGATGATATATTCAGACCAGGGTTGACCGGTAGGCTGATGATATATTCAGACCAGGGTTGACCGGTAGAACAAAAACTTAAGCAAGTCTTAAAGAAAAAAAAGAGGCAATTTAAAGATTTTTAAAGTTGAATTTCTTGCTAAATATATTTTTTTTTATCATGATTTTACAAAAAAATCTTATAGTTTTATAAGAAAAGTATCTGCTTACTACCATAAATACCTATGTTAATAAAAAATTCACCTATTTTTCAGCAAAAACAGGCATTTTATACGTTCACCCCTAGATGTCCCACAAAAAATTTGGGCCCGATCGGTTCAGCCGTTTTGACGTTTATTGGATACAAACAGACAAACAAACAAACAAACAAACACCCAGACAAGCCAAATTTATATATAGATAACTTGATTTTCATTGAAGTAGATTGAAGACAACATGAATGGTGATGAAAATGATACTACGTCAAGATGATTTTGTGCATGCTTGATTATTTACCTTGCAGGTGCAGACATAAGAACCAGCTGTGTTCCAGCAGTTACTGTTAGCAACACAGTTATCTGTTCCTAAACAATCATTAAATGCTTTACTAGTGTTACCTTTTTAATCAGGATTCAGGTTATTGTTATTTTAAGTTATATACTTATTTATAGTTTATTTTGTTTGTTTGTAATTAATGTTGATTTTGTGTTTGGGTGTTTATAAGTGAAAGTGTATATGGAGGCCAATTTAAAGAGTTTGAAACAAGGCTTAAACTAGGGTTTCCACCGGAATACCGGGTTAAGGTTTACGTACGGAAATTATCCGGAAATTTTTTCCGTTTTACGGAAAAATCGTTCCGGAATTTTCCGGAAAAACGTTGAAGACATCTTAAACTTATGTAATAGATATAACTAGTAAGTAATGTTATCTAAATAATACTAGAATGTGCGCGTGGTTTAGTTAAAGTAATACTACTGTGAATTATCATGAAATAATATAAATCCTGACTGCCATGTCTCAAAATAATTTCATCAACAGTAAACTGTGGAAAGAAAGACGACATATATTAGCAATCTTTTAGTCTATTTGATGTTTTTTACAAAGTAAATTGGTCTGCATACTCTGTATACATTATAGTATACACTATGTAATTGCCGTGTCTCATGTTCATTGTACTACTTAAAGTCATAACTTTAGTCTAAAAGTCGTCCTCCTATCCCAAAGTTTTCTGGTTCTCACTCTATTTATATACTTTGCTCGTCTGTTTGTTTGTTCTCATTAAACGTCAAAACAGCTGAACCGACAGATTTCAAAATTTGTGAGGCAACTCACATGGCCCAAGTGAAGGCTTCAAAATGTGTGCGAGAAAAAATGTCGGAAATTTATTATTTGTTTTAATTCACAAATTTAAATTCTAGTTTTTATAAACTCTTATTTTAATGGTTGATTTCATCCCATCCTGATCAAATACGGAGGAGAGAAGAGGGAGGGGGTAGCCTATCCGATGACCCTCTTGAAAAATAAAAACTAATTTGTCAAGAAATATTGTGGGCAAAGTGAAAACTGTAACTGTACAATAGTCATGATGAACTATAGTAAAATATTTGTGAATATATAACTATAGAAATAAATGCGTATTTAATATATGACAACTATAAATAAGTTTTAACTTTTAATGTTTTAACATTGCTTTCTATGTCTAACGTTGTGTTGAAATGGTTAAAACTGAAGGGGGAGGTGTGTCCATGTAAGGGAGGTAGGTGTTCCCATGCACTACACTGCAGAGTGGAAACCTATGGATAAACATAGAGTCTACGTCTTATGGAAAACAAGAAATTTTGAGTGTACTACACAAATTCATAATCCCATTCTGGTTTCCAGAATGTTAACCTGGAAGTTTTTCCGGTTCACGGAATGAAACCTGGACATTTTCCAGTTTATATTACAGAACCAGGATTTTTTTGGTTTGCGGAATGGAAACTGGAATTTGTCCGGTTTACAGAATGAGACCCGGACATTTTTCCGGTTTACGGAATAAAGCCCTAATTTTTTGCTGAACATTCCGGAATACCAGAACATGGTTCCGGAAATTTCCAGTTTCCATTCTGTAAACCGGAAAAAAAATCCGGATTATGTAACTTAAACCGGAAAAATTCTGGTTTCCATTTCAAACAAATTTCTTAATCATTTCCGAAATGGATATTTTGTTCCGGAATAATGGAAACCCAAGCTCAAACACAGCCAGTTGGTTCCACTTGAAACTGTATTTAGTGTTATGAAATTTGAGCTGACGCTCAATTAGAACCAGATTTAGGCAGTTTAGTGACGTGGTTTTATTTGGAATTCGGCCGCAGGTTTTCAAAAGCATGTAATAAAAATAGTAATAAACTCCATATATTGTTAACCTGTGGCCGAATTTAAAGAATTTGAGCGACGGTTTAAATTTATGCTGTGGCTTAAATATGGTTGGTTCCAGTTAAAATTATATCAAATGTTTCAAGATTTAAGACGACGCTTAATTTAAACCGCGGCTCAAATTCTTTAAATTCCATCTTTGAACATACCTGTACATAAATATATTATGTTAAAACTTAATGGTACCCTAACTACATTAATTAATTTCTGAACAGGCCCATCGGTCCATATTATTGACATGTAACATTAAACCCAAAATATAGATTAGTTGAATATGAACTCTGCTTGATTAGGGTATTAGGTAATAAGTTCTTGGTAGAGAGTATAGATTTGTATCTTGTTTGATAGATACTGATCAATACAGAGAGTGTTGTATCTGTATTGATACTTACTTGAGCATAAAAAAAAGTTGTATCAGAATTGAAACCAACTTTAGAATACAGAGAGTGTTGTATCTCGATTGAAAGATACTGACGAATACAGAGAGTGTTGTATCTGGATTGATACAGACTAAAGTATTATTGGAGAATTAAGAGTTTGAGAGCAATTTGTATCTGGAGCGATACACACTTAAGAATACAGGGAGGGTTCTACCTTGATTGATGCAGTCTAAAGTATTGTTGGAGTAAGGCATTTAGTACAAGCATTTTTGTGTTTAAAAAAATCAATGTAAGAAAGTTTGATTAAATGTTAAAGAATTGTTTTGAACACTTCAATTTCTGAATTTATGAATTTATGAATTAAATATGAAGTATGTCACATTTTGACTGAAAGAAAACAAAAAAAAAACTATAAACATGTATCAAACAATTGAAACGGGTATAGAAGGTTACGAATTCTAGTTTGTTTAACTTTTGTTCTTTCATATTGTAAAGTTATCTTTTATCATGAGGTTTGCAATTGACACAATTTAAGTGCACCATTTAATTGCCCAATTGGCTGATACATGATTTATACTGAAATAAATTATATGGCAAACACTTGCAATTTTTGGCTTAATTTTGAACAAAAATTGCACATAGTTGATCACAAAATATTTAAATCTTAACAAATTTTACAGATAAGGGAATTATCTACTTGTTGCAGTACCTAAATAACATTACACAATCTTTTTAAAGCATGTTTGGAGATAAGAAAACCTACAATTCTAAAATTTTAAATTATAAATCAGCTTTAATATTTTTTTTTTTTTTTCCAATCAATAACACTATAATATTTCTCAGATATTCTATTTTTAGTAACTAAAACTAAATATCAAATATGTGCAATTAAATAAAAATAGAATTAAATAAACTGGATACATCAGGTTTCCACTTAAATATTGCAATAGTTAAGTGGAGCTAAATTATTTACATGTACAAAATGTATCATTGCGGCAAAATATTTATTTCAAAGTGACAATTTAGAAATAATTTTAACTAAAAAAACTCTTAACATGAATCAAGTTTTAAAAGATGTTTATATTTGATTTAATGAAATATGTTTGTTTTAAAATTGGCTACATTTCTACATTTCAACATAATTGACGATTTGGCATTCAGTTTTTCTATGGGATTAGGTATTTCCCCATTGGATTTATTTTTACCAAAATATCTAAACTGAACCCAGACAAAAAATAGCATCAGATACCGACAGAAAGAGTGGCTTAAAAAGACTGAAAATTACTGAAATTGTATATAATTAAATTTACCTATAGCGCATTCATCTATATCTACACACCCATCATGCATCTGCCAATCTGTAAACCCAGGCATGCATTTGCAGCTGAAGCTTCCAATTGTGTTAGTGCATGTGGCATGGTTTCTTAATACATTTTTATTTTATTTTTATAAAATATTTTGAAGTTTTTATTTATTGTTGTCCAAAATATCTATGTAATAAAACAAGACATTCGTATATATATATATATGCTGCATATGGCTGGCCAAACAACTGTTCCGATTGGGCTGAAATTTTTTGTGGACACTCATGGGTTAAAAAATTGATTTTTTTTTCAAACAATTTTAGATAAAAAAATTTTCCACGGGCAACGCCGGTTTGATATAGAAAATTTAAAGTTTAAGAAAACGACATTTGGTTGAAAAGATATTGGGGTTAGAAAATTAGATTGTGTGGCAAAAAATCAGTTCATTTGGCTTGTTTATATAGCCTTGTTTGTGCATATGACCTCAGGGAAACGGTTGTTTACATTGTTCAAATGGAACAAATTATCTCAATAAATAAGTACAATTTGATTTTTCTTTTCTGAGAAAAATTACGCTTTGCCTTAATTATCAATAAAAGAGACAGTAGAAATAATAAATAAACCCAAGGACTTAGTCCAGCACATAAATTACCATGAATGATATATAATAAAAAACTTTTAGGCCCTTATAACTAAACAACAATAGACAGCTAAGGGTTATACATATGCTTATATATCTTGATTAAACATCATTTCACATTTTTACTATTTTTTGCCTAAATATTGTTTCTGGTTTTCACTATCTTCTTGGCAAATGTTGTTCACATTAAACAGTGATCTTAATAATAATTTGGAATAAAATCCTGTTTTCTGTCTGGAAAAGGTTAAATTATAATGATTTCTCTATTGTTGCACAAGTGACTTTTGCAGTGAAACCTCAAATAAAAACCTAAAAAAAAAAGACAGAAACTTACTCAGACAAAACTTTTATCGATTAGGCAAAGCTTTCAATTGTGTCATTGTGAATTTTACTGGGAACTCTCTTATAGCTTACATCCTTATAGCTTATTTCAATCCCAGGGTACCCACTACCAATTGGTTTCCTTAAAAAAATGTTAGCCAATTTGGTCTTGTTGCTTTGCTGCCAGCTATATCTAATATACATATGAATATATGTATATATAAATGTTATAAGAAGATTGTTGCGTTTCAACTGATATATATATATGCAAAGAGCTTTATTATGCATAAGAAGATTACCCACAATGAAGAACTCCTGGGTAATGTCCATCCCTCATACGAGGAACAGGATCACATTCATTTATATCTTCACAATATGGTGAGGCTACATCAGTTCTAAACATTCATTTATATCTTCACAATATGATGATGCTACATCAGTTCTAAACATTCATTTATATCTTCACAATATGATGATGCTACATCAGTTCTAAACATTAATTAATATCTTAACAATATAATGATGCTACATCAGTTCGAACATTCATTTATGATCATATCATCCAGACTGAACATACACTTGGCTAAGTTAATTTCATATGAATAATCTTAGCTTGGTTAAAAAGTTTTAAGTTAAGTAGGTTGACTTTATAAAGAAAACTTAGATTTCAGGCGAAGCTGGGTTCCCAAGCTAGTATTTTTAGACATAATTAGTTTGAGAACCCATTATTGCCTAGGGTACTCAAATTCAACCTTGCCATTTACCCATGCTTCTTCATAAAATACGATTTTAGCTATTTTTCCGTTTGAAAGTGGACCCACTCAAATTAGAATCTCTCGGTACGAACCTTCACATGGTTTTCCCAGGTTCCACAATCAAAAATTTGAGGCAAACCAGTCCAGGATTCATTAATTATATATGATCGGATTACGGGACAGAGACATTATAACTTTATATATATATAGATACATACTTGCAGTATAGACCAGCTTTACAATCCTCACTTGTAAGGCATCCAGTTGAACCATAGAGACACAGATTGTACTTCTAAAATTCGGCTTATGAGATTTAACTTCTTACAATACCCATTAAAGCATGAGCATGAACTACCAACAACTCTTTTAACACCTCTTTTTGAAGGATTTCTGCCGAAATACAATTTCAATAGTAAATGTATTAGTTTAATGATTTTGCAAAGTAAAAAAAAAAAATTCATGGCTGCGATGAACTAGAAAAAAAGGTTAAAAACTGAATAAAAACTGCTTTAAATAAATTGAACTTTCAGATTTCTTCAATAAGACAAGCAAAGATACCATTATAAAATTTAATTTAGAATTTACGAAGCATTTAAAAAAGCATTTTTTTATGAAAGCTTTTCAATCGGTTTAAAGTTCCGGATCCAGACTAAATTGTATCCAGTTAAGGATAATTGGTTAAAGTCCTTATAGGTAAAGAGAAGAAAAGGAGGGGAGTAAACCCATCCATATGAGGATCTTGGTGTTCTCTCTGGGGACATATTCTAAAAACAACCCTTTAACCAGTATTGATTGATTGCTAAGCATTTGGCATTTTCAATCATGTCCACCTTATGGAGGCTATGAGAAGGAGTAAAATTAGTCGCAATCAAATCCTAATTAATCAGAATTCAGTCTATAACACAGTCTATAATTAAATGTTCCAAAGCTTTCCTTGTCACATTTTTTGTAACAGCATTTATCTGAAGATGAGTAGAAGGTTTCAGAGTTTCCAAAGAACTGAGTTCTGAAAAAGGGACTTTTATTGAAAAAACAAAATTCACATTTAAGAAAGTGTTCGCCAAAAAATGAAAGTGGGCATGGGCTGAATCCCAATCAATTTTTGATTTAATTGCTACAAATAAGTAAAAAATCCAATCAAAATTTGATTTAGATTCAGCCATTTTATTTTTCGCGAACACTCCCTTCAACTAGTCTAAAATTTATGTATACAGAAAATTAAAGAACATTTTGGTAAGCTCCTAAATTCAAACGTATATACAGTGGTAAGCAATTATATCAATACAATAAAGACGATTTTTTACAGTTTTGATTGTTAACGATTATTTTACGAATTTCAGGGTTATAAGTAATCAAAGAGAAGCTTTTTTAATTGATAGCTTCTTTTAACTTTTATGTTTCAGTTTATCCATGAGTTTAACAGCTTGATTTAAATCAAAATTGACATCAAAAGTCGTTTTCATTGTATTTATATAATTTCTTTCCACTGTAACTAAATTAAAATTCATTTATATAATACAGGAGTTAAAGTATAATGTGTATACACTGTACACTATATAGTTGTTAAAATTAATTCGAAATATAAGGAAGACGATTTTTCCGACTCAAATGCCGTAGCCTTTTCTCTAATCTCCTCTACAAGAGGATACTCACCCTGTTCCAAGGGTTCTAACTCTCCTCCACAAGAGGATAATCTCAACTCTAATGAGTTTACTAAGCGAACCTGGAGAGAGAAGAAACCTGTTGTTCCAGTTCTAGTGGATCTGCACCACCAATATGAAGTTATACATTACCAACATGAAGTTGCTGCTGATGTCTGTCGTTTGCCTTTATTAATTTCTGAACCAACCAATTTACAATCTTTATGTCTTGGTCAAATATTTCAAAACAATATTATTTTTCTTAAATAAATGTTATAGAATATTTTTTTTTTTTTTCTGATTTCTTTATTAGAATATTTTTGACTTTTTTAAAGGTCAACAATAGTAATTGATTGAATTAAAGGGATTAACAGCAAGGAGTGCTAGAGTGTAGCATTTATGTATGAAATATTAGGATTAATTCAATGGCAGCTATAGATAAAAAATGTGCTACACCTGAACGGACTCCACATTGTGAATCCGCCTGGAGAAAAGTTTATAAACATTTGAATAAATTGTAGACCCCCCCCCTCTCCTTCCTCTTGACCGCTCAGCCAGCAGTATAAAACGAAATATTGAACCAGGATTATTCAGTTGATAACGAAGTCCGAGGGAGAGGGTATCAACCCCTCTTTCCTCTCCCTTGGCCTGTTAGAGGTAACCAGCTGGTTTAGATGAGTTTTATCACGTTTCAAAGATGATGTTGCGTAGATGACCGCTCAGCCAGCAGTATAGAAGAAAATATTGAACCAGGATTATTCAGTTGATAACGAAGTCTGATAGAGAGAGTTTATCAACTCCATTCTATGCCATCTTCTCCAGGATGAAGAAAGGATGGATAAAGAGGATAACATCAAAGAGTCTAAAGTCTGCAATAGAGTCAGTGTATTTGGGGCATGGTCCAGTCCTTTTTTTTGAGACCAGAGGGCAGGGTCAAGCAGCGAGTCCTCCAATTGACATTTTAAGTTGAATTGTCCTCTTTTATTTCATCTTTTAACATGTCACTGATATCAAATTATTCCTAATATATCACTATTTACTACAACACTCTCTGTTCCACTACCCATCCTTGGGGGTCTCTCCCTTTAGAAAGTAAATACCTGGGAAAATATGTGGTATCCAGACAACTAGCTCCGCATAACAGATTTCCCTAGAAAAATATAAATCAAAACAAAACAGTGTAATAAGAGGAATTAAGTATTTGCAACAAACTCTGATTGTCTAATACCTAATTGCAAACCAATGCGGTAGACTTTAATATGTCAAACAATGAAATAATTTAAATTTGAAATATCAAAAGTATCCATCGTCAAGATTATAACTATAAGGTTGTGAAACTTTTAAGCTTTTAAATAAATTTTCAATAAAGGAAAATGTGTAAAATGTTGTATTTATAGCTGGATTTTGAATGACACACATCACCTGGCAATCTGTGTTTGATGTACAGTGCCCTTGTCCTTCTGTACATGGATGTTTAGCAGTGCAGCGTTGTGTACAACAATCATCATCAGCATCCCACATCCCCCCTGCACCAGGGTGCAGACTGGAACAAATAAAATTATAGATTTTACTTTTCGAGATAAATTTTATCGGAATAAAATACTTGTTCAAATAATAATTGGTTTGCAAAGTTTTGACCCAGCAATTCCAACCAAGATTTTTTAGGCCTTGATCACTTTACCAGCCTAAAATACTGCTTTAAACTAATAGAAAACTATCTTTAATGACATCTAAAAAATTTTGTTATAAAATATTTAGTATGTTTCATACAAATGATGATGAGTAATAACATCACAATTTTTGCTTTACTTTATCAGGAGAGCCTCCAATTCTATAACTAATTAAACAAATTTAGAAGTTTATAAACATTATAAACATTATAAATTGCTGACCATTTTTAGTGCCTACAAATGATTATTTATTTGATAACTAGCGTTACACACTTTTCGGATAAATTCCCAATGCAACTAGGGTAGTAGGGAACCAAACACAGGCTCATCAAAAGAAGAGCTAGGCCAAGTGGCAGTAGATGAATGGTAAGTATTTTTAATGAATAGTCGAGTTATTTGATGAACAGCAAACACCTTTAATTTCGAAATTATTCACGAAGGAAAAGGAATATTGTTTTTTTTTGTGGAGTGTTATACATGCTCTGAAACCAACTTTCAAGGCCTGCTCATTAAAAAATAGACCTCTAAATTCAATGGTTTGGGTGCAAGAGAGAATTAAAAAAGTCCGAAAAGTACGTCGGAAAGATGTTGTAGAATAATTATTTTTAAATCTATAAATTTTAGCCCTGTAGCTTAATTAATAAAAAAGTTTTAAGCCCTAACCAAACATTTGACCATCCTCCACCCTGCCCTTTGCATAAAAAAAAATTAATTCACATCTATGATGTTGAAAAAGTAAAGAAATTAAAGCATTCCAATGTCAACTGTTTTAAAAATATATAGAAAAAGCCACAGGGGGGTAGGTAGGTTACACTCATCCAGTTGGGGAGCAAACTCTAAAGAGAAGGTTGGCTTGCAGACCAAGCTCTGCTACTAAGATACACTAGTCTACTAGGGAACCAAACACTTTAGAGAGGAGCGGCTTGTAGACCAAGTGCTCCAGTTAAGATACATAAGATTACTCCGGACCAGACACTTCAGAGAGGATTGGCTTGCAGACCACGCACTGCAGCTACGTATACACTAGCCTACTAGGGGACTGAAAATTTCAGAGAGGTAATGTTATCTAGGGCTGGGCACGTTCCGACTTTTTAAAAATCTTTCCGTTCCGTTCTAGAACGAGGGCCTTCAGCTAAATCGTTCCGTTCTCGTTCCTTCTTTCTTGTATCGTTCCGTTTTGTTCCGTTCCGTTCCGTTCTGAGTAGAAGAACGGTCTTCCCGTTCCATTCCGTTCTTGGCGTTCTTATTTAAAGAACGGTTCCATCCCTCTCGTTCCGTTCTTAGTCAAAGAACATTTCCATCCCCCCATTCTGTTCTTAGTATAGAACAATTGCTAAAACCGGGTTACCCAATTTGTAGTTTTTTGAAAAATATTTAATTTTCATAATCAATATTTCAATAATATCAAAAAGATATAGAAATCAATTATAGAAAACAATTTCTTTCAACATTTCGCATAATTATATTCTTACGCTTTTATAACCGTATTTTTTCCCTCCTTTCTTTCCTATATTATTTTCTCTAATGAGTCTAATGTCATTTAGAATAATTCTATCTTTCAATTTCTGTTCACTACATATACAGAATAAATCTGAACTGGAAACACATTCCTGATTTAAAATGCGTTCCCAACTTAGAATGCGTTCTTGAAAATAAGAACTCGTTAACTATTTTAACCGTTCTTTTCAAGGAATTCCCGTTCCGTTCTGTTCTGTTCTTTTACTAATCGTTCCAAAATTTTTAAGAACGCGTTCTAAGCGTTCGTTTTTTTCGGAATGATGGGATCGTTCTTGATCGTTCCGTTCGTTCTAGGGAAAGGACGATCGTTCCACAAAGGAACGCGCCCAGCCCTAATGCTATCATACCAAGTGTTGCAGCTAAGATATACTAGCCTACTAGAGGACAAGAAACTAAAGAGGAGAAAGGGTTGTATGCCCTATCAGAAGGATTCTCTAGTCTTTAAGGGGATCAAACATTACAGAAAGGATATGCTAGCAAACACATTCAGTGAACATGGCAGCTAGAATAATTTAGCAGACAAAATATTGAAACTAGGAAAGGAGTGCCCAACTTTAAGATATGCTTAAGGATCAAATCATGCTGCTAGAATATGCTAGGGGACCTAGTGCTGCACTACTGATAGGATACTCCTCTGACCAAGCACTTCAGCTAGGATGTATTCAAGGACTAACCACTGCTGAGAGGATACATTATAGGACATAGTGCTGCTAGGATATTTTGCTGGTAGGCTTCTCCTCTGACCAAGCACTTTAGTTAGGATGTATTCAAGGACTAACCACTGCTGAGAGGATACATTATAGGACATAGTGCTGCTAGGATATGCTGCTGGTAGGCTACTCCTCTGACCAAGCACTTCAGTTAGGATGTATTCAGGGACTATTAATCACTTCTGATAAGATACATTAGAGGACATAGTGCTGCTGCTAGGATATGCTGCTGGTAGGCTAAGCTAGGAACCAAGGGCTGCTGCTAGTATATAAAAGAAATCCTAGCCATAGAGCCAGATACTATATGGAAGCAAGCGCTGTAGTTATCGAATAGGCAGTTGCTAAAGCAGTTATGAATGTGATGTGACAGTACTTTGGAACTGTAAACTTGCAAAGATCACATTGGGGATATTTAAAATTTGGGAAGTTACTAAAACTCAAATTGCATTTAATGGCTGCAGTAAATCTTAATAATATTTTACTTACTCTAAACAGTTGTTCTTTCCACAGATAAGAGAACCAGAGCAATCATTATCAATTTCACAATCCCCCTCCCCAGCTCCACACTTTACACTATTACTAAATACGAAATTAATATACTGTAATTCCAAAGAGAATAGATTAGTTTAGAGTGGAATTAAGTCAAAAAAAGGTATAAAACACATTTGTGCTATGTAACCTTTTGGGTCCTAGAACATCTTTCATAGAATAAAATGTTCTTGAAAACTATTTAATTTTCTCTAAATCAATACAATCAATACACAGTAAATCAATACATTAACCCAGATGAAGACCTTCGGTTTCCTCCTATCATTATTTGGATTTGATAATTTTTTATTTTTGATAGATATAATTGATAATATAACTGATACCTCTGTATCACATGACCATGGGCATGTGATACAGTTTCCATACGGTAGGTGTACTTCACACATTTTGTCATTGGTGGAAATTCTGGTCACGTTATACAGACGTTTCATTTTTTTATCAATTATATCTTTCAAAAATTAAAATATAAAATTTTAAAATAATGATAGGAGCACGCCTAAGTTCTTCAGGCTCCTCTTTGTTATCGCAGTTTTCAGATCAGTTGCATATTTGCTGTTTAAAACTTAGATTATTATACCAAATATCATATACATAAGTTTCCCAGCAAGAAAAAATACAAAGAACGGAGGAGAAAAGGTGCACCGTTAATCATGTCGCGGAGTTCGAAAACGGAACTCCGATTCTCAAAGAACGGAGGTTAGCCGGTATCCTATACTGATGCGATTGAGGTGCACCGAACGGTGCACCGAACGGAGTGATTTACGGAGCACCGTTTCTACTCCGCTATTAGAGCTCCGTTACTACTCCTCTCTTAGAGCTCCGTTACTACTCCGCTCTTGGAGCTCCGTTGCTCCTCCTCTTTTGGAGCTAGCACAGCTAGCACCTAATGGGGCCACCACAAACGGAGGGAATGAGGAGGATTCTCCACAAGAGGAGGAAATGAGGAGGATTCTCCATTTTCGGAGGATAAAAGGAGTCCTCCTCTTGAGGAGGAGAAGAGGAGAGCGGAGTAGGTTTTCTTGCTGGGTTTGGTATAACTTTGACACAGTTTAATACTAACTTCTTGACACAGGAACATCAGATAGCTCTTTTAGTTCTTGATCAACCCCTAAATTGCTTTTAGCGGGTTTAAGCGTATACCCCCTTTCATTTTCCCTTAACAGTCCCTTTAAGATCAAGCAGTGAAATATACAGAGCGTCCCATATCATATTAGATTATCTCTAATCTTTAACGACAAAATAAACCCTTAATACTCGAAAAACTTATCATTTTCCGCAAGAAAATTCTTATATAAGCCTTATGTTATTTTTCAAATTGATTCATTCTAATTAAATTTTCTTATTAGTCCCGAAAATCGCAATTTAGACCCGTTGACGGTCTAATATGATGTGGGACACCCTGTAGCTAACTTGAAGCCTTGTTATACATTCTCGGAAAACCGATCTTAAAAACGATTAAATGATTTTTTGTACTCGAAAATAAACAACATTGAATATAAAACAAAAGAAACTTACAACTTGTACCAATTTGTTCAAAATAATTATAGTTAAACAAAACATATCAATATTTTATGCTTTTGGGATCATCTGTGAGTGATAAGATATAGAGCGTGTTGTAATTTTGATTCTTAAATCTAGGAAATTATGGTGTTAGTTAGAGGTTCCAATTTCAAACTTTTGTGACTATGTTCAACCCTTTAACCAGGGGCGTAAATATCGATTCTGTAGGGGGGGTAAATTATTATAATGTGGCGAATTTCCCCCCCCCCCTAGAAGAATATCATGATGTATATCAAATTATTGGTTTTAGTTGGCCGGTTTGATTTGCATTATATTCTGATGTGAAATAAAATAACTCAAAATTTTAGGATGTGTCATTTAGTGGCCTCTAGCAGAGTTTCTGTGAACGAGCCAGATCATTGTGCAATGTCTTGTAAATCATGTGTAGCTAGTATCTAAACCTTTTGACGCGGGCCGAAAACTGATGTGAATGAACAGCTGTTTTCCCGGGCTCAGTCAGTCCCATTCCAGCCTAGTCGGTACTGAGTCCACACTCCAAGGCCACGGAAAAACGTTGATTTAATTTAAAATCATCATTCATCAACTATTCAAAAGCAGTTTGTGGTTTCTCTGGAAGACAATTTCCTACCTTTTTAATTCGTGTCTTACAATTTTAATTCTATATTTGTCAATCAACACAAGCTTTTCCCGTAAAATCGAATTAATTGGAGAAAAAAACGTTATTAAGTTAGTGGCCGTCCTAGAGAACGATTTTTGGAGCACCCCCCTCCCCCAGGGCCCTCCCACCCCATTACAAATTTTGTACATCACCACTTTTTCAACAATTTTCAATTAAATTAGTATTTATTTAGGGTTAGGTTAGGAATTAAGACACTTTCTGGGCTAAGCGCTGCAGCTAGGACAGGCTAGGGGGCCGAGCACTGTGGACGCATGATCAATTATATCCATGTCCTACATATAAGATTAGTATATATTTAGGGTAAGGTTAGGTTAAGGCACTTTCTTAGCCAAGCGCTGCGGCCTAGAACAGGCTAGGGGGCCGAGAACTGTGGACACATAATCAATTATATCTATGTCCTACATATAAGATTAGTATATATTTAGGGTTAGGTTAGGTAAGACACTTTCTGGGCCATGCACTGCGGCTAGGACAGGCTAGGGGCCGAGCCCTGCAGTTAGGACAGGCTAGGGGGCCGAGGGCTGCGGCAAGGACAGGCTAGGGGGCCGGGCGCTGCGGCCACATGGTCAATCATATCAATGTCTTACATTTGTACAAAATTAATAGGAGGGAGAGGGGGGGGGGGGGGGTCCAAAAATTGTTTTCTAGGAAAAATACAAGTTAAAGGGCCACAAGTCTAAACCCCTGATATCACAACGCAATTTTCAATTTTTAGTGTTAAATAAATTGTCATAAATTTTAACTAAGATTTGAGCTTTTTTAATTTGCTTTTTTAATCATCATTTATATTTGTCATTGGAAGATAACATATTTTTTTCCGTAAAATCTAATTGTTTTGCTAATATTTCATAAAACATATTCAAAAATTCGTTCTAGAAAGCCAAAATGTAGCAGATCCAACGGATTCTGATCCTTTAAGCACTAGTTTTAACGAAACTTTACCTTTACATTCTAAAAGTTTTTATTTAAATTAAATGAGATTCATGAGATCAATAATCTGCCAATAAAAAATCTGTTTTAGATTTTACATTGTATGTTTATTAGGACTTTGAGGCCAGCGGAGAACTGAAGGATATTGCGGAAGGAGTGTCAGAACAAACTGGCCGACAAGAAATGCATGCCGGGAACTCTGCCCTGGCCGGAGAAAAACACTACGAAGGAGGAGAAACAGAAGATTTCAAAAAGTATACAAACAAAACCCTATAAAGGCTGGGGGGGGGGTCTGAATCTATGCAAAGGCCCCCCTAGAAAAAGGCCTTGGAGAAAAGTCATAGGGTTGAAATGCATGTTCAATGTTCATAGCCCAATTTTTCAAGGCCAGCCTATAGGAAAAATATTAGATTGATAACTTTTATAGTTTGGGTGCTTGAGAGGGTTGAAAAAAAATGCTGAGAAAAGAGTAAAAAAAATGTATAAAATTTTATTTTTGTTTTGAACAAATATCATAGTGTGACACATGTTTCTACGTGCATTTTTCAAGTGCTTTTCAAAATTATAGTTTTTAGATCTTTAGCTTTAAAAAGTTATGGGCTATTTTAGATTTTTTCACAGACCGGACTTTTTTTGCGCCCTGTACTTCTGTACAGGGGGGGGCGCCAAACGCCCCCCCCCCAGCCTGTTTAGGGTTAACAATATTGCTATAGTCGAAATAATCCCCAATTCCCTATTGTTTTAATTTGAAACATTTACACCTTTATAAACCCCTTCAACCCCCCTCCCACTGTCTTTAGAGCAAGAAAGAAATTTAATTTATTTCAATCAAGAAACTTTTTTAAAGTTTATTTTGCAAGTTTTTCATGATTTTTCTCCCCCAGTTAATTTTTCATTATTTTTTTTTCCTCAGAAGGAGAGTGAAATTTCCCTTGAACCTGGACAGTGCACATGCCCATCCCGGATCCTACAATATCTACCACACCCCTCTCCTCTGTCAACAAGAAGGGAGGAATAAATGGAACTCTCTGCTCACTTAGCTCCAGGTATAACATAAACTCGCTGAAGTACCTGGCATTGCCCCTGGAAGAAAACAAATTTCGAATTTTTAAGAGAATTTTTTTTATCTTTTGTTACCCCCAGGGTACCTGAATTTGGTCCAACCTTTTGGCCAACTATAGCTAACATTCAACCCAAGCTAAAACTTTATCATCAGTTGAGAACTGGACAAACAAATANTACATACCCAAAGCCCTCCCTTTAGGCCTAAGACCGGGCTTTAATACTAACTGCCTGAGTCCTCAGGCACACTGCCTGAATGACTGCTTTTTCCTGTAACAAACTAAATCTTTTTTTTGACACACTTCCACTTGTCAGATTTTAAAAAAATTTAGCTTTTTGGAAAGCCTATGACATAAAAAACGAATGGCACAAGCTTTGCAAAAAAAATCGCAATTTTTTTTGAAAACAATCTGTCAAAGGAAATTGGCACATTTTTAGTTTTTTTTAATTAAAAATCAGGTTATTTAAAATTTTGCAAATTTTTTTGCATATTTGAAATTACATGGTCAAGGGCTTTTAAAAAATGTATAATTTTTCATTTTTTGGACAATTTTTTTTTGCAAACATTTTCACTATATAACTGGATTTTGCAGTAAAAAATTAAATTTTTGCAAATTTGCAAATCTAAAAGTAGAGCACAAGAGCTTTCCAATGATGTATCATTTGTCATATTTAGACATCAAACATGGGATTTAGAGGGATATCCTGGTTTTCAAGTACCCCAGCTTAAATGAGGGTTAAGAGATTTTTTTTTAGCTTTTGTTACCCTTGAACCTGAATTTGTTCCAGCCGTTTGGCCAGCTATAGCTTACATACAATTATATACATACATGAGCGCGCTAGAGCTTCATTATATAGTTTATTTATTCTGGATGCTTAGTGTTCTCGTCAAAAGATTAATAAGTTGTAAGTGGAAGAATTAATTTATGTAATATTTCATTGGACCTAAATTTTGCCTGCCTCTTTGAATAAATGGCTAAACCAATCGACCAGAAGGTCTATTCGCCAGTAAAAATTGTATTAGAAAAAGGTCATTTATATTATTTTTCAATGTCTAAAAAGAGACGTCAAAACATGTCAAAACTCAAATATTTTGCCTGACAAAAATGTCTCTTAATCAGTCATGTATAATTATGTTCAGGTTGATTGATGTCTCCTACCCTACTCCTGGTTTGGGGGGGGGGAGGGAGGTGCAAGAGGAAATGTGAAGAGAGATGGGGTGGTTGGATGNTAAAGAAAAGGAGAAGGGGGGGTTTGAGTACATGCTGTCCCGCTATAATTATTTCTGAGAATTAATATGTACTTTATTTATTACGGAATTGTTTCGTATTACGTAATTTTGCAAAATTGTGCCTTAATTATGCGAAACTAGACTTTCTTGCGTAAACGTAATAAACGCGTAATTATGCATAATGCTCCTGCGTAAGTGAAAGAAAGTGTTATGCGTAATTACGCGTAATTACATGTAACATAATTACGACTGGAAACCCTAGACAGTATTTGCCAGCTCCAGGTGCATCTCTTGAAACCAAATGCAACATGTTTATAAAAGAAATTTACTATTGATTTTTTTTGATGTTTGGAATGCTAAGAGCCTAAGAGCCTGAAATTTGGCAAAAATTCTTGTATTTAATGAAAAAACCCAAAAAGTATGCATGGACGACAGATTTTAGATTTTGACAATGATGGTATGATAATACTAATAATGTCTAGGGGTTCACGCTTTTACAAAAAGCATAAAGTAATTTTTATATTATTTTTCTCATCATTTATCACATATATTTATCTTTATCATACGAAAATACTTGTAATCAAAAATTGGTAAAACAAAATTGTAACTGTCCAAACCGAATGATAGGCTTTTTAAGAGCACAAAAGTCAAATTAAAAATGAGTTAAAGTTAACATTAAATAGCCTAATTTTTTTTAAGAACATCCATGAGAACCAATTAAACTTTGCAGAACAGTACTACAATATATACTACAGCTAAATCATTAATGTTGTACAATGATAATTTAATGCTTTAACTAGCTCATGTGCTCAGCACTGACCTTGTAATTATAAAAACACTTTGGAAAAAAAATTCTAATTTTGAACAAAAAAAGAATTGCTAAGTTTATTTTAATCCCATGGGCTTGCTAAAAAAATCTGCTAATATGTTTTAGCTGTTTGGTCAGCTATAGCTTACATATATATATGAGCAAAAAGCTTTATTATAAAATTTTTTTTTTACAAATTGAGCTAAAAGCATGAATGATAAGACACACTAATTTCACAAAACATACTTCAAACTTTTGCTATAATGAAAAATTAATCAATAATAATATTTCCAAGCAGCATCACATTTTTCGATCCCATTTGATCTGTGATATGTTTTCAATAGTCCTGAAATATTACAAAGTAAAGAGTTATCAAGGTTCAGGTTTAGGTATAGTTGAGAATTTAGTTCTACAATTCATTCAGTATGAGAATTAATATGTACGTTAATAGAAATGATTTATTTTTGGTAACTTGTGCTTTTTTTGAAACAATGGAGGAAATTGTCAAAATAAACATGCATTCTAGGGTTTCCATTTTTCCGGAAAAAAAATTCCATTTTGGAAATGGAATGCTCCGGAAATTTGTTGCGTAAACCGGAATTCCGGGATAATTCCGGTATAAATGGAAACCGGAAATTTTCCGGTTTACATCATGGAAACCGGAAAAATTTCCGTTTTACGGAATGGAAACCGTAAAATTTCCAGTTTCCATTTCGTAAACCGAAAAAATTTGCGTTTTCCATTCTGTAAACCGGAAATTTTTACGGTTTACATAACGTAAACCAGAAAATTTCCGGTTTCTGTCACGTAAACCGTAAAAATTTCCGTTTTACGGAATGGAAACCGTAAAATTTCCAGTTTCCATTTCGTAAACCGGAAAAATTTTCGGTTTCCATTCTGTAAACCGGAAATTTTTACATTTTACATAACGTAAACCGGAAAATTTCCATTCTGTAAACCGGAATTCCGGCATCCATCCATATATTGTTAGTGTTACTAACTGGTGTTGTATTTACATATGTAAGACTTTAATGTAATTCTGGTACCAAATGTTCCGGAAATCGGAAATTTCCAGAACGATTTTCCGGAACAATATTCCGGAACGTTCCAAAAATTTCCGGAACGTTCCGGAAATTTCCAGAACGTTCCGGAATTCCGTAACAATCCGTAATTCCGGAACAACGTTCTGGAAATTTCCGTTTTACGGAAAAAAATCATTCCAGAAATTGTTCCGGAATTCCGGTTTTCCGGAACCTTTTCCATAATGGAAATGGAAAAAATTTACAGATCATTTCCGTATGTAAACCGTAACCCGGAATTCCAGTGGAAACCCTAATGCATTCTCAAGTTAGAAAATTACCCGTAGCATGTGTTTTCCCACCATTGACCAAACTCAGGATACTCTCTCCTCTCTCCACTTTGTATTCTTTGGCACAATTCACACATACTCTACAGAAGGAGGCTGTACATGAAGTTTTAAGTGGCCCTCCATTTTAAACAGAGTGGCATGTCTGATTTACAAGTAATTATTCATTTTTGAGTAAGAAAGTCAGGAAGATATCCTCGTAATTCGATTTGTAAAGAAATAATATCACTCAATTTTTTTAATTTTAAGATAATAGATGAAGTCCACATGTTATTTTTACTATGAACTAGACCATCCCTTTTTTTTATGGAGGGACAATAGAAATAATCTTCTGTTTTCCCTTTAACGAACCATAGATTGAAGTATGAAAGAAGTATTTTAAATACAATTATACCATTGTGTCTCATCTCATCTGGTTTCCCAGCAATTTGAATTCAAACCTTTAAGCTTATCATATACTGCTGTAAAGTTTATTATCATCATTATTTAGTTCAATATCTCTATTGAATTCAACTCTCTGTTTGTTTGAGTGTCTGAGAATTACACTCATTATAAATTTACCTAAAATTTTGATTGGTGAACTCAGTAAACCCACAGGAATTTTTTTAGCTTAGTTAATACATTGTAAGATGAGTGGGTTGACTTTTATAGGGAAAACTCCATGCTGGGTTTCAAAGCTAGTAGAAGTATAAAACATATGCATTTTGTCATGTTCATATAATAAATATTTTAACTTTTTGTAGAAACTATCAATTTAAAATAAAACTGAAAATCAAGAAGTATAACATTTTACCTGATTAAACATTTTTCTCATTGGAATTATAACCTTATATAATCTTTTCCATTCTAGATATTTATTGTATTCCTGAAACCATGATTTAAACATTAGTCTTGTAGTGTATTTACATGACGGAAGACAACTTTTGATTTCAATTTTTTATTTCTACCAACCTTTTAAGCAGCTTGCTGCATGGATATGTACAAATAGTCATGGAAATTTTTAATTTTAAACTTGAACTAAAAGCATGTTAGAAATAAAAAATGCGGATACAATTTTATCACAGAACTTCGGAGTTTTATACCATGGTGGAAAGCAAGTATCTCTATATAATGAAGACAACTTTTAATTTATATCAAGCTTTTAAACAACATGAAACAAGAAAACATGGAAACAAAGAGAAGCTTGTTATTCAAAAACAGCTTGTTAACAATTAAAACTTAAATAAAAAGTTTTCTTCATTATATTGACATAATCGCCTTCCAACGTTTTATAACTTCATCTCAGTAATTGTAAAAAAAAAAATATTCATGAAATATGCAAGAACAGTTTAAAAGATCTCCAAATAGTTAATCAACTAACAAACTAAATATCTGAAGCATTTTATTATCAGTAGGTTTAAAAAAAGGAGCTTTTATAAATTCTTTGGATGCTTAGAAATAACTCATTTACAACTGTAAACAAGTTGTCTTCATTGTATTCATGTGAACGCCGACCACTCTGTAACAAATTTAATATCATAAAGAAATGCTTTATATTATTTCAATAAGTATTCTACCTCAGGATTTTTATCTAAATACAGTATATAAGTTGCAAGCTCTTTTGGGCTCTTGTAATCCTGAAATGAATTAATATTATAATTAATGTTGCCTGTTGAATTCCAAAAATTGTCCATCACTTGCAACTTTCACCTATCCTACAGGATACCCAGGGGGGTAAGTTTAACATGTTTTTATTGGAATTTTTGTTTTAAATTTAATTTGCCTTATAGAATTGCAAAGCGTTGCCCCCTCCCCCCACCTTTGGGAAAGATTTTTTTGATTAAAACAATTTCTTTTGTGTAGTAAATTAAGACGATAAACTTTTGGTAAGAAAAGAAAAAGAAAAGCCGTAGCAGTTTAATGGAAAGTTGTATCTAGCTTGTATCTGGCTTATTATTTTTATTATTATTTCTTTTATAGTTATTATTATTATTACTATTATAATTATCTCCTCTTTTTTAAATTCCCGATAGCATATTTCATTTTACCTTTACATCTATATATGAATTTGGAGGGGCAATTTCTTTATAAGGTCCTGAACCTAAATCATCATCAATTATGGCAAAAATGAAAATTGAACGTGTAAAAACAAATTACCTAAAACAATCGGCACAATGTTCTGTCCTGCAAACAATTGAATTTTTTTAATTAAAAATCTTATTTAGTGTTTTATCTGGACTTTACTTGTAGACTTTGTTTACTTTCAATTAACCCTTAATTCATAGATTTGAAAATTTGATTACCAAGGGTACGCTTTAAACCCTTGTCTGGTAAACTGTTAGGCTAAATCCTTTTTTTTTTTTTTTGCGCAAAAATAACTCACTTTCAACTGTAGTTTTTCTATCTTAGAAACAAAAAGAGAGATTTCCGCAAATTCTCCAATATTGGTAACTTGGAAAGCCTCTCAAGAATAGGTTCCTGATTCCCTGGTAATTCTCGAAGGGTTCTCTAAAGTTGGCCCCAAATTTTCAAAGATTTTGGTGAATTGAGCTTTCACACTTGATTTCAAGAAATTCTAGAGAATTTCTCTGAAATATTTATCAGGAATTTCCTAAGAAAATCCTAATCAATTAAGGAAATATTTCTGGGAATTCCCGCAGATTTTCACCAAAATTGTTTACTGTGATTTGAAATTATGGTTTCATGCTGCAGAGATCATAAAGGAAATTGTGAGAATTCAGAACTCCTCAAGATAACAACGACAAATCCTGTCTCATTGTTACTGAGATATAGGGGTCAGTGTACAGTGTGCAGTTGTCGGACATGTCACTTTATATATGGAAGTTCAATTTCAAACTAATTCAACAATTGCTTTAAAAAGTTAATTAAAAAATTAAATTGTCTTTCCTAAGAAATTCCAAAATTTTTCAGTTACATAATCTTGGCAGAGAGAGTTCTCAAAAGAGAGATAAAACTTGTAGTTTCCCTCCATAGAATCATAACATTTCTCATTATCAGCACATGCTTTCTTGTTACAGTGTCCAAATTGATCCAGAGGCATCCATTTTTTCAACTCCTTGTTTTGTGAAAAAAAGATTAATGCTGTGATGAATATACTTCTCTTTGCTCTTCCGGAGATCTTATTGTTTCTGATTGCAAACTAAAGATCTTCAAATACATATTGTGCTTCATCTTGATATCCACATAAAGCTCTACATTTTTGACCATCACAGGGCAATAACGCACAAATTTTATTTTAATTGTGAAAAGATATAAAACAATTCTTATTGAATGCAAACAAAAATTTTATTGAGATCTGGCAACAAAATAAAAAAAGGAGGAATAGTTGAACTACGTAGACTGAGTAGAACCACTTTTCTTCAACATGAAACAGCACACAACAGAAGTACAGTTCAACTACTTCTCTTAAACTTGAACCAGTGCACTTTAGAGAAGTGGTTTAACTACTTCATGCTTTTCATACAATCAGTGGCCGAAATTAAAGAATTTGAGCGGTGGTTTAAATTTAAGCTGCGGTTTAAATATGGTTGGTTCCACTTTAAATTGTATCAAATGTTTCAAGATTTAAGCCGGCGCTTGATTTAAACAGGGTTTTGGCGGATTTAAACCGCGGCTCAAATTCATTAAATTCCATCTCTGGTCCAAGAAATTAGTTTACCTTAACATATTCTTCCCTTCTGGAGTTCGTCTTACAATGGGAAACAATCCATACAGCTAGTTGTCTTGTATCATTTTTTAAAGGTTCCCATTTGGATTGTTCAGTTAACTTTTCAGTCTTCCCAAACGGTGTATAGATATCAGAATCTCTTCTGTAGGTCATCGTCAAATTGAAAAAGGAATTAAACCTAAAGGAATTAAGTTTTTCCACAAACTCCAATTTTTCTAATCTATACATCTTAACAACCTGATGGTGTAAACCTTTGAGTTTTTAAACAGAATTAACAGTCAGAGGTCTACCTGACATCAGGTTTTCAAGATTTTAATAACAAAGTTTGTGACAAAAACTGAATTACGGTTTCCAGTCGTAATTTAGTTACACATAATTACACGTAATTACGCGTAACACTTTCTTTCACTTACAGAGAAGCATTACGCAAAATTACGTGCTAATTATGTATAAGAAAGAAAATTCTAGTTTTGCGTAATTGGGGCATAATTACGCGAAATTACATAATACGAAACCATTCCGTAATTAGTAAAGCACATATTAATTTTCAGAAATGAATAAAGTGGGAAAATATTTTAAGGACATGTGCGATACAATTACATATCCAATCTGATTGGATAATTTAAATACACTAATTTCCTTAGATTTTAAACTCAGGCTTTCTTCCCTCAATGTATCATTTAAAGTCTCAAACAAATTAGAATTAGAAATTTAAACGCCGAGGGATTCAATGATGAAAGAGAGCGGGTTTAATGAAAATTGTTGCATACCTAAAAACCAGCTTTTTATAAAGGAATGTTAAATTATCTCTTTTTGTTTTCCAAATTATATTGAGTTGTCAAATAAATTGCCTGGATTCAGATCCATTTATTCCATCAAGAAAAGGACTCTCATAAGAGAAATAAACATAAAACTGTTTTGAGCTTCTCTTTGTAGGAAACTAAAGAAATAAAACAATTAATTATTTCCAGAATTGTGTAAAGGAGATTTATTTGTATTATATTAAAGATGATTTCAAATGATCCTCCATGCAAAGATGACAATGCCTGATTCACTAGGGTTCCCTTGAAACTTTTATTTAATTAATAATATAGAAGATGTTATTGTTTTATTAAATTTGAGAGTGTTTTATTCTAAAATATCTCCTTCAGTAAAGAAACTGCAATTAAAAATATTTTGTTTTGAAGGGCACTTCTATTTAAAAATTGACAAATGAGTTCCGTTGCAATTTTTTTTTTCAAGTTTTGTTGCAGGTGGATTTGTAGCAAAGACCTACTCCATAACAATTTACTCAAGATGTATCCATCCAGGTCTGCTTGTTACCAAGATTAACCAAGACTAACTGCTCAGACTCTACAGGCCACTCAGGCAATATCTCAACCAGGATTAACTCTCAGGCTCTAAATGACACACAGGCCGAATTCTCAACCAGTCTTAACTTCCCAGTTCTAAAGGACACACAGTCTAATGAAATTGCTACACAGGCAATTACTATTCTTGTATAATTCAACAAGTAAAAAAGCTTTCTTTCAATCTTACTTAGGTTTCTGATAACCTGATCAAAACAAGAGTCTTATTCAACTAAACTTTCTTCAATAACTTAGGTTGCAAAGTTAACAGGAATTGAGATCATTCAAATTTCTTATGTTATTGATATCACATGATTAAGACCATCATTTATCGAACAGTTAAAGTTTAAGGTACATATTTAAAGATTAAAGAGAATAGATAAAACGCATTGAATCCTCTCTGCCCATATTTTATAGTGTGATTTAAGTATTTGATTGAAACACAGTTTCAATAAATAATCTCATTAGGTCTAAGCTTTAAACATTATATCTTTTATGACGTATGGTACTGCAAATTTACAGAATTTCATGTTTACGCTTTTTGCTACAGATTTGCCTGAACCATGCTGAGCCTACTTCAGATCTCACCATAAATATCCATCAGTAAGTGTTATATTTTATTTTATTAAGACTCATTAAAAAAAAATTTTTTCATTAAATTTTTTTATGTTTTTTGAACCTTTCTCCTTATGCCATACTTCTTTTTTAAATTCCAATAAATCACAAGATCATTATTTTAGGAAAGTTAATCGTGATGTTTTTAAAAAAGTTTCAGAGGAGAAAGGAAATTTTTATTGATGAGCCTGTTGTGAGCCATGATAAGCCAGGAGCTGCTGACCACATTAGTGTTGATTGGAATGTTTTGTTTAATTCAATCCTGTCCAATTCAGGATTTTGCCCTAGTTACTAAAGGTTTCAAGAATCAGTTGTATAAACTTAAATTTATAAGAATTGATAATTGATTTCTAATTCCTACTTGATCAGACTAAGCTTTCAAGGGTACCGTTGTAGATTGGACATTGCGATCTATGTATGGAGGGTCACATAAAATTTAACAGATACTCCCTTTAAGAAAATTAAAATTAAAAATGAGTAAGTAAATAACACTGCTTATTAATTTAGGTGAAAAGAAAGCATTAACCATACTATTTACTATTGGATTGAATAGTGAACTATCATTCACCCTTTTTAATCACCATACACATACCCCCACTATTATTATATAGCATTTATATTGTCACAACAAATTTTTAATGAAAAACCACGATTCATGAAGTGTTAAAATGTAAAAAAAATTAACCAATAATTAATCTCTATAGTCTATATGTACCCATAAATTGCAAAAAGTAAATTTTAACATTATCCAATTAAATAACAATCTTTAATATGTTTTCTCATGTGTATAAATTAAACTTTTAACTATTATGAGTTTATTAGTTTTAGTTTGCATGATTCTATCAATACTTTCAAATTCTAAACGGTTTCGAGAAATTGGATTATTGCTTATGAAGATCCTTTAACAGTTTTGTTTCGCATCAGAAGAAAAAAAGGTTTTTTTCTGGGAGTGAGCTATTTTGGCAAACCAGCCCCCCCCCCCCTCCTCCAAAAATTTGTGTGCAACCTAGCAAAAAAATAAGTCTTGGAAGGTTTGATTAAAACTTTGAGATATGAGGGGGGCTGTCCTGTTGTATCCAAAAAAATTAGGAAAATTCAAAATTATTGTATTATTTTGTTTAGATATTGATTTCTAATTTTCCTTTCAAATGACTGTACCTTAAACTGATATATATTTCTTGTATTAAATATGATACTGTCAAAATCCCTAATATTGGCCAACAAAGACCTATAAATATTGAAGTAAAGTAAAATTCAAAAATTTGATTTACAAGGTTCTACACAATTAGTTAGAATGCAGTTATGACCTGAAATGAGATTATTAATGAAATTGATAATTTTCAATCCTGTATCTCTGCAATCTGTTGTTGTATAATGTTACAGTTCTGCTAAATCTAATAGGTTTTCGATATCAAAGGTTTATAATTCAGATTGCAAAGATATAGATTTAGAAAATTTAAGTTTTTGCAAATTAATTTGATCAAATTAAACATTTTATAATTTTATGCAACTAAAACATTTCTAATTCCTCATTTTTTCTTTTATGTCAAAACTTGGCGTGTACAACAATGCTGTTTAAGGTTATAAATATATATAAAAAATATAAAATATTCAAATCGTCAGACAAATTCTCAGTGGTAACGTGTGTGTGGTTTTATTATAGAAAAGCCACTTCGCACCCCTCTTCTAGGAGGGGGAGTCCAGAGTTCCTCAAAGAGTAATCACCACCACCCAAATGTGTTTTGCGGCAAGTGTGCTCCTCAATTGGTAAACACCGTAAAATTTTGTTTTCTGAGATGTTGATTTTATGCACTTTTATCACAATTTTATTGACTGTTTTGACTTAAACTAAAATTTCAAATTGTTTTCAGATTTGTTTGGTCAACAAAAACTGAGAATAAAGGCACAGTTCATTTTAGCCGAATCTTAGATCCAATTCGCTCATTTAATGACTGCATTTCATGATTGGCATTAAGATACTAAAAGGTCAGGCTGCCTGTTTACTAAAAATTATCTCATCCCAAGCAAAGTAATATCTATCTCCGTTTAAAAGATATTTTCAAAAAACCTTTACAGTGTTTAGATTTCTGTATTCGCCTCCTCAAGTTCAACATCTACAACAAAACTAATTATATGCATGGAAAGAACATAAAATTTTGAAAATTAGTCTCATCCCACCCCCTACTGAAAATGAAGTATTAAGTCCACTAATAATGTGTTAAAGATTCCTCTCTGTATAAGGAGTTTAAAACAATAACATTCAGAGGAAAATGCCGCAAACATTCTTAAACTTGAAACTAAAAAAACGTAATAAATTTCTATATTTCTAGGGCCATTAAAAGAGGTCAATATGGTATTATTTCTAAGTAATAACTGATTTAATGTTAAGCTTATTTTGGCTGATTACCAATTGAGGTGGTGGAGATTACCAATTGAAGAGCGCTTGCCGCAAAAGACATTTGGGTGGCGGTGATTACTCGCTGAGGAATTCTGGACTCCCTCCTCCTTCCAGTAATAATTTCATGGTTTTAATGTTGCTTTTCAAGCCCCTATTTTGTTTTGTCATAGAGAAATTTTTTAAAGAATTTGAACTACATTTTGGGACTTCTAGATGCAAAACAGCTATTTTTGGGACACTCTGTTGGGTTGTTGGATTGTTTATACTTAATACATATCTAAACGGCTGAACCGTTCAGGACAATATTTTGTTTTGACAGACATGAGCCCAATTTATGGCCGGCAGAAATTCAAGAGATTTTTCTAGAAATATTTTGATTTGGAAACATTTTTCTAAATCCACCAGAGATTACAGAAAGTTTCGCAAAATTTTACAGTAATGATTTTTATAATGTACACTATACCCGGAAAAATGGTTGTGATATTTACGAAAATGGTAGCAATATTTTAGGATTAAAACTTACAAGAAAGATGGATGCAAAGCGCTCTGAAATTCTGGTAAAAATATATGATAATAAAAATTAGAAAACCTGTTATTGGTTACAAAACAATTGTTCACGCAGCAATCATTTTTAATAAATGGTTCTTGTCCATATCCAAATTCAAACCAATCAGTAAACGCATAAAACTTTAAAAGGAAGTAAGTGAAAACAACAAAGAATTTTTAAATTAAAATTAGATTTAATAAATTTCTAAAAAAATATTCACTACGAAGCAAAAATGTTTTAGATGTTGTCATGAGGCAAATAGTAGTTAACCTGATTGGCAATGTGAACACTGCACAATTTATGTATTTTATCTTCATTGAACATTATTAAATATCATAACTTGAGTCTGACAATAGTCATCATATTCCACAATGTTATGGGTCTCTTTGTACTTTAAAAAAACAGAGAATACTTTATTAAAATAGTTTAGATTTCACCTTGGAATAGTAAAGAATATATTTCAAAGGTTTTTTATCTTCTTCGCCCACTTTTGAACTTGACTGACAAGTATAATTTCCTAATCATTAATAAAAAACTATTAATTTTCTAATTGTGTTTTATTGTGTATTTTCTTCTTGAATTGTCATGCTATATGTAATAAATTTATGGTCGACTTAACAAACTTTCAGTAACACTAAAGTCAGCATATTATTTGCAATTTGTTTTTTAAAACTTTCCAATATGGTGATTTTAGACCTGAAGCTGAATAATCAAAGAAAGAAATGGGTTATATCAGATTTTAAAAAAAAAACACACTTTGTTCATCTTCATCTTTATTTTTAGATTCCTTCTAAATGTGTTAAAAATTAAAACCTGCTGTAAATGTCATGTCAAGAATAGTCCAGGAGGAATTGAAGAAAATCAAGCCTAAAGCAGTAAACAGTTTTAGCTTGGGACTTATTTGTTCCACCTTAATGCACTGGTTTGCAGTGTGCATATTGATTATTTTTGCAAGTAAAGAATTTTGTTTCAAAGGAACTGAGTTTTTGCAATAATACATGTGTAACCCAATGTTGTAGACCTTAAATAGTTCAAACTATGAATTCTGTCAGATAAGATAATCTAAATTTAAAATATCAAAGATTTACACCATCAGATTTCAAACATATGGATTAGAAAATTTGATTTTTTGACTCAATTCCTTTGTCAGACAATTTGAAAATATTATTTTAATAATTTATGATTAATTTTCATATTTGAATTATAAACAATGCTTAAATTGCAACATTTCTTTTAAGTTTGCGGTATTTTGTGTTTCTGGGAATTTGATGAAGTTAAAAAACTCACCTAATGTAAATAATATTAAGAGGAAAACAACCCATTTTATATGTGTTATCATCTGAAAAATTAATCTAGTTATTATAATAATAATATTGTGGAAGACGATGCCTGGCCGCGTTAAACTAGTTCCACAAGATTTAACAGAATGAGATAGAACGGATACGGGACATAGTACTGATATCATCTCTACAGTCTACACGTGCGATATCGATATTGACTCTAGTTCTGAACCCTCTAGTAATAAGTTATAAGAAATATATGTATACTGGAAGTTATTTATGCGTTTTATTAGAGTCTGACTCACGTCCTCTATATTGGTGACCCCTGACTTTGAACATACAGTTAAACGCTATCCAGTTTCGTGATTTTCTTGAACTTTGAACATTAAGTGATACATCCGAGCATCATGACCGACAAGAAAGAAACTCCAACCGAGTTCGTCGCCAAAGTCTCTGTCAAGCTCCCGGATTTCTGGACAGAGGACCCCAACCTGTGGTTCCATCATGCAGAGGCGGCCTTCAGAAACGCCCAGATCCCACAGTCAATAACCAAATTCGACCACATCGTACAGAAACTTCCCCAGAAGATTATGGTCTCGGTACGCGGCCTGATCATGGGTTCTGCTGCCTCCTCAGAAACCCCTTACGAGGATTATTGTATATACATAGCTATAGCTGGACCATATTGGCTGACATTTTTTTAGGTAACCCATGCGGTACCCTACATAGGTTTAAAAAATCAACATTTTTTCATCAAAAATAGATTTTTTTTTCAGAAATCGAAATATATTTATAAAATACAATTTTTTTAGGATAATGCTGAGGCTCACTTTGACATCAAATAAATTTGCTTGTTTCAATTAAATTTGACTAGAGTAATAGACATTTTAATATAGGTGGGTAATAAATAAATAATTATAAGCAAATAATTTAAAATGGTCTACATAAAATAGGTAATATTTGACATGTTTCCACATCAAATCATAAAAAGATATCCAAAAAAGGGATGGGCCTCATTTCAAATGTTTTCAAAACGATTGTTTTCCGTTTTGAGTGTCAATTCTGGGAATCATTTTGCTATCAAAACAAAACTGGTTTTTTTTTCAAAACAATAATCTAACCTTCAGAACATCAGAGTTAAAGAATTCCTTTTCGTCATAATAATTTCACAAAAGAAATATGTTAAGAATGAAATTTTGTATTATCTAAAATCTCTGAAAAACAAATTTATAAACTTCGATGTTTTACAAACACAGAAAAAACCAATGACCAACTTAATTTGTTAGTAATTCATTTTTAAAATCATGGAAAATTGTCTCATATAAATGGGGCATGTTTTAAACTTCTGTGTTTTTGTTTACCATGTTTAACACAGTATGTTAAACTACATAAATCCTGGAACAAGATGGTTAAATTATTCTCTGAAGTAAAAAGGTCATAATTGCAATGTAATCTAAGCTAATTTTTTAACAAATTAAAAAAACATTTTCAAATTCCACTAACACATTCGCCCCCAATAAATTTAAAATTGCCCCCAAAATTTTCATCTTTTCCATAATTTGGCTTTGATTGCCCCTAATTATTAAATTGACCCAAGAAAATATAAAGTTGTCCACATTAAAAAATGCCCCCAAACATAAAAATGTCCCTTTTCCACTCACATGTTCCCCCCAAAAAATTTATTTGCACCCTGTAAAAACAACTTTTGCCCCCTTTTTTTAAATTTTCATCTTACCCAAACCTCAACTCTAAAGAATCTTTTATCTTGGACACTGATTTCTCTGAGATTGCAGCAGGAGTAACTTAAGCTAAGGTGCAGGGTGGGAAAGAGTGATTCATAGGCTTTTTTAGCAAATCTATCCATTCCACCCAGTGCCATTTTCCTCCCATGCAGTTATCCAAGGGATGAGGAAGTTTGAGCATGTCCTCAGGGCTAGGAAGTTCCTGATCAGTACAGATTTATCAGTTATTACCTTCATACAAGGATTGAAAGAAACCAGAGGAATATTTGCCCAATGGTTAGTGTGCTTGTCATTATTTGAATCTGACGATCTACAAAGTTTAGTCAAAGCTAATACTGCAGCTGATGCTCTGTTATCAGGAAAAAAGAAAAGTTCCTTACACTTAAGATGTGATGCCCCTGTAGATGGGGTCGGTTCTTCAGCCACAAAAACTAGGTTTGATTTGTAAATTTTATATTAGATCTATACTGTGAGCTCAATTTTCTTGTTGACATTTGTTTTGATATATCAAGCTGTTTATTGGAGTTTATAATGAATCTTTCATTATTCTATAATCATTTAACTTTTGTAAATACACTTTTGTTTTAAGAAAAATAAATTATCTTGGTCAATCTCTTTTAGATTGAACTGTGTCACCCTTAACCAGAGCACTGTTTTTTTGAGAAGAGGATCTAAAAGAAGTAGATTTGATTCAAGAGAGTCTGTGGCTTAGGGGTAGTTCCAATTAAGCTTTAGCAGATCATGACGAGGTTTGATAACTCTAAGATATTTTTGAGCGAGTACGTTAGCTCCTAAAACATCCTCTTTCTGTGTTTCTGATAAACACAGCTACACACAAAGGATCTTTAAAGCACATGTCAAGGCAATTGGGGAGAATCCTGAACCTGACTAAGACTTAATATATACCAGCAATTCTGGAGTGGATGCTGTACAGCAGACCTCCTATTTAGATGGTGGAAAGTCTCACTGCCATAACAAATGTTTTTAACGCAATTTGATAACCCCCAGCCAAGAGAGTTTAAGGCTGTAGAAGAAACCTCAGATTAGCTACCAGGTTCCAAGGTAATGGATAATTAAACAGCAGAGCTGTCAGAATTTGAAATACCGTGCAAAATTGGCGATAAAGTTACCATACAAGTTCTATCAAGATAATATCATTGGTCAAAGTGGTTAAGTGCAGGAAACAACTTTTGATGGTGAAAGACTCAGCACAAAACATGAAAATGAAGAACAAGAACAGGTTCAATATGTTTAAGAACGCCAAGAGCTGATCTGGTTCAATAAGAACCAGATCAGCAAAAATAAGAAATGGAGGATGAATTCAGATCACTTTTGAAGGAGAATAAGAAGGGTAAACAACTCAGAACTGTTTTGAGACAACTTTGAGGGTGAAAAACAGGACTTGATGGTTCCAGAAAGATCATTCATAAAAGACAAGTTAACATTAGCAAAAACACAAGAAAGAGTAAGGCAAATAGAAACAGAACCAGAAAAGTACCTAGAAACTTCAAAAACAGAGTTTCAGAAAACAGAATGGGGGAATATATCAATGTTATGTACAACAACAGGACCCTCAGGACCGGCGGACAGTAATAGTCCAGAATGTCAGAGCTGCCTTAATTGTCAGAAGCCTGTGCAGCCAGATCAATAGGGAATCAGCTGGTGGATAGGAACTACTTCAGGAGCTTCTATATCTGAACCTTTTCTAGATTCAAAGGAATCAGGTGGGGATGTAACTAGAGGTGTTAGGTACTTTCCCAGAGGCCTTTTCCCAAGCAGCAACTTCCCTAGGGCATTTTCCCAAGAGCCAACTTACCAAACGTGCAATTTCCCAAGCCGCAACTTCCTAAATGTGCAATTTCATAAGGGGCAACTTCCCATATGTACATTTTCCCAAGCATTAATTCCCTCTAATAATTTACTTTTTATTCTTTAAAGCAAGTAATAGCCACAGTGCTCAGCTCCCTAGGTCATCCTAGCCACAGTGCTTAGCCCCTAGCCCATCCTAGCTGCAGTGTTTTGCCCCTTGCCTAACATAGCAGCAGCATTTGGCCTTCTAGCCCATCCTACCCACAGCACTTGGCCCTTGCCCATCCTAGCTGCAGCTCTCGGCCCCCTAGCCTATCCTAGCTGCAGCACATGGACCCCTAGCCCATCATAGCCCCGGAAGGCTCAACCTAACCATAAATAATAATAAGGATCGTTTATACATTTACTAACTAACTTAACAAAAGGAGAGAAACTGAATGTAATTTTATTTAAGTTGCATATTTTCTTAAAACAAAGTTGAGAAATTCTTTTAAGAACTTAAAACTTGAATGTTCATTTAACACTTCCTTCATGGGGAAGATGCCGTTTTTCCTTAATGGGGAAGAATTCACCCTTGGGAAAATGCCTTTGGTAAAGTACCTAACACCTAACTAGAACCAGACCTGGTATAAAATATCTTCATGCCTTGGTCCCTAATTTTAGTATGGAGTCTGCCCACACCTAGGGTTGTTAATCGTTTTTGAAAACGATCGTTAAACGATCGTTTTTTGTTTTAGGAAACAAATAACAATTGTTTTAGAAAACAGTCGTTTTTTTAAAAACAATTTGTGACAGTTTTTTATACAATTTTTTTTAAAAACGATCTTTTTTGAAAATAATATCATTAATGAAGGGTTGTCATTAATGATCGTTAACGAAGGGTTGTACTTAACAATAGTCAACTAAACGACAAACTTTTTAAAAACAGTTCTTTTTGGAAAAACGATCATTTTTGAAAAAAAGAATTACATGAAGCTGTATTGAATGTTGTTTTACATGAAGTTAAAAAGTTGTGGGGTAGCTAAAACTTCTTGATATTTTCCTAAAAAACACTCACTGGTAAGTACAGATGCCCTTCAGGTCGTCATTTAGGATCGTTAACGAAGGGTTGTCGTTAACAATCGTTAACAAATCGACGATTTTTATAAAAACGATCGTTTTGAAAAACAAATCGTTTTAAAAACGACCATTTTTAAAAAACAAACTTTTTGAAAAAACGATTGTTTTAAAAAATGATTGTTTCATTGTCGTTTTCCTAACAAAACGGTCAATTTTCAAAAAAATGAAAACATTAACATCCATACCCACACCTCATGTAAAGACCAGGGAAAATCACATTATTAAATTCCCTGGCCAGAAAACTCTGGGTCCTCAACCCAAGCTACTATGCCCAGCTGCCTGACCTATTGCTGATTCTATGCCAGCATAGCCTCAGCTAGCTCTGAGAACAAGAAAGCTGGTTTAGGACCTAAGACAAACAGGCTGGTGGAAATACTAATTAGTTTCAACCATGATGTCACAGAAGAGTCAAGGTTAACATCTTCTATAAGAGCTAAGGGTTTATCTTTGAAGCTCTTCAGTATCCATTAGTTTAATTATTGCCCACCCAAGTACTAAATTCATTTTGGTTGTTTCAAATGTATTTAATAATTATGCATTGAAACCAGTGTTATTACTCTTATATCTAGAGAGCCCTTTTATTGATTTCATTAATATTAATATTATTATTATAATTATAATTATCATGAATATTGTAATTGCTGTTATTAATATCAATACCATTATATTTATATTAGCTTCAATATTATTATTATTATTATCTACATTATAAAACAAGACATTCACAATTATATGGGTTGTCTATCCCAGCTAGCCAAATTGTGCAAAAAGAGCGCAATTTAAGCGTCACTTTTTGCATTTTTACGTAAATTTTGAGTGGACGTTTTGGCTCTTTTTAAGTCATGAAAGACATAAAATCGCAAATTTATTGGTTTTAGTAGATGTAAAATTTACGTAATAATATTATACAAATTTACGCCAAAAATGTGCATTTTTATTTTCTCAACTATAAAAAATTATGCAATATTTGATGCATGCATATAAGCC